GTTACATGTCGCGCCGCATTGCGCGCCGTCTATTTGCTCCTTCAACGACGACTCGTAATTTGCCCGCTTGATCGTCGCGCGATATCGATCCTTTCCAAAATTTGCGACGGCAGATATTACTGTAACTGGAGTCATCAGCCGGAGCATCGTAATAATAGAATAAACGGTTCGGAAACGACCAACGGCGAAACAAGACGAGCGTGTGTATAACGGAATCAAAATTATTTCGGAAAATGATATACAGTTGCCAAATAATAAATGGGTCTTATTATATCAATTCAGTCTTTCTTACATCTTATGAAGCGTTCATTAGTAAATTAGAATAGAAAATTAGTAAAATGCATTTAGCATACAAAAAATTATAGAACGATTTTAAATCTTTTATTTTCTTAAAGTCTATATTTCTATATCCAGTACATTTTTCTAGAGGAAAATTAAAGTTTCTAACGGTATTTACATTCAAGGCTACGATTACGATGAATTCGAACGGAAATTCATTCAGATGGATTCATGCCAAGCGCCAAAATGAAATACATTGATGCGTAAGTACATACATACTTGCGATGCGTGTGATCTAATCTCGCGCTGTAACCATCTCGACTTATCCCAAGATGATTAACTTCGAAGCTTGGCACAGGATCGTTAAAATAAGTTCTCCGCTATAACTCCAGTCTAAACTGATCTTTACGTCAGTCTACATTGCCCGATAAATTGTCGCGAGTAGGTTGATCGTAAAACGTCCATGTCAAGGCATTTTCAGTATGCTTGACAGTGCTTGTGACAAGTTTTAGAGAAGAAAAAAATACCGACGAAAATCGATATATTTTTCTATTTGGAGAAAATTGCGCCGGGGTTGTATATATTTCTTTCCTCAGCATTTTTCCTGCTACTTTCGCTATTCTACTTTGCAATTCTAGCCAGGCGGAGTGTATGAGACGCCCGAGGCGTCACGCACTTTCTCCCGGATGCTTTTCCGGTAGATGCAGAGTAGCGAAAGGGTTAATCCTCCCACGCGCGCAGTCTCTGTGCACACGTCGCGGTAGGGATGTGTATGACCCTCGCGAAGCCGTCCAAGGGGGATGCATGTGCCATGCGTGTGTACATTTTGCACACCGTAACGCAAACGCTCCCTTCTCATGCCTGTCCGGCTCCAATCCTTTCAACTCTCCTCTTTGTCTTTCTCATTGTCTCCGCGTGCTCGTGCGTTAATCGCAGATTATGCGAGAAAGGGAGAGTAGAGAAGATGGACGAGAGGAGACCATGGGCGAAAAAGGAAGCCGACGAAAAGGGGTGGGATCAGGGCCGGATTTCCCGTTAGCTGCATTCGCCACGGTGGTAGTAACGTTAGCCCGTTTATCTTAGCTCTAGAGAAGACCTTCCGAAAACAAACAAAATGTTTGTTTTGAAAGAGCGCGAAGGCGAAAATGCGCGAGTGGGCGATATTTAAAAAAAAAACATCAAACTGTCGATATCAGAAATATATTCCTTATTAGATTTTCGCATACTTGATGAGCATTTAAGAATTTAATTCTCTATAACGCCTGCATTCGATCTGGAAATTGCATCTATCTATATCTTTCAAGTCTCAATGATTAATGTTTTCCATTCATCGGTTGTGAATTTTTTTTTTTTTTTTTTTTTTCCAAGAAAGAAATCCGGTTATAGAGAGTTAAGGGTTTTACAAATTGAAATTGAACCGTTTCAAATTCATGAAAATGCTCTCATCACTTTCTATTGATTTCGGACACGCTTTAGGATGTATTCAGTCTGCGTATACTCTCCCGCTTTATCTTGATCGCCGAAATAAGCTTGTTAAGATCGGAGAAACCCTCCGGTTTTCTTTAGGTACCCGCGCGGACAGGACATGACGACCCTTCCCGATGTGTCTCTCGGTGTCTTTTTTCTTTGTCTGACGGGTCTCCGCTGCGCTCGGTACCTCCGTACCGGGCTCGCGCTCGGTGTCAGGTCGATAGTTTTCCACGCTCTCTGTCGCGCCGGCAATTTTTGCCTCTCTCGCCGTGCGGCACCCGTTCGCACCGGTAAGACTGGTTATATCCACGAAGAGCGGCCGCTTCGATGAAAGGATCCTCTCGGCGGCTCTTTACGGCCGGGTTCAATCGATCGTTCCGCGTAACGCGTGTCGAGTACCCCCGAGACGTGTCGTGCAAAAATGCAACCATCATTTCGTATACGCGACACTTTATTTTGCGCAATCGAGCATGACTCGTTTTACGTCATTATCAGTATCGCTATATTTATTGCTGGCGTGCACGATTACGTATCTCACGCGTGCGATTATCTGTTTGCTTAAGAAAATTATTGATTCAATATTTACAGTAAAAAATGCATTTTGTGGAAAAAACATTTCCGAACAACGCAATTTTCGAGTAATTAAATAACATCGATTTCCTTACTTACAATATCTCTACTCTTGCAATTAGACGCGTGGCAAACAGTAGACCATATATAGCGAAATTTATTTTATGTAATAATGTGGAGGAGGGAACCGCGCGGAGACTTTCACAATAAAATCAACACACGGATACAGACTTGAGAAAGATCGTCCTGATAAGGGCACGCGAAATTAATATAATGAACTGCAACGATGTTAACTATTAATTACAATTTATTTTTCACATCGTCACCGTTATACTGCTTATTATCACTGACACATCGATTCTAATTTTCTCTCTACAAAAATTACTGTTATAATTAATATTTAAAAAAATAGAAAGTGCACGACACTCTTCAAGGAAAAAGATTGAGCAGGTCGCGTGTGAGCGTAGCGTGCAGGCCGCGCGATATACATATGTATATAGGTATATACGTATCGACATCTTTGCGATATCTGAAATCGACGGGACGTCATCGGTGCATGCTGCAGCTTTCTGTCGAGGAAACCACCGGGGTCCTCCGCGGTCGCAGGGTCGGTCGAGAGGCGACAGCGATGCGACAGCTGGCCCTATACACAAGGGCGTGGCCATCTTTATCCGAAATAATCGGCGGCGCGCATCGAGCGACGACAGAGCGCGGAGCGAGCAGAGCCGGGGCTCGGAATAAAAGCGGCCGAAGAAGCGCGGCCGTCGCGCTAATTACCGCGAAAGTATCGAACCGCTAATTGCAGAACGCGCTTGCTCGCGCGCGCGCGCGCGCGCTCGCAAGCGAGCGAGCGAGCGAGTGAGTCATTGACCTTCGCTTCTGGCGAAGAGTTTCGTTCGTTCGTTCGTTCGTACGTTCCGGCCCGCATCCTTTATGTCTCCGCAGGTAGGTGCGCAAGTGGCCGCAGGAATGTGCTTTCGTTCGAGCGACGAGGCCCCCGAGTGCTTCATTTTTCTTACGTGGACGTCAAGTAGCGTCAACGACGCGTGATATTATTCTCGTCGTCGGTTTATGGCTACCGAGCGTTATCTCCGGATAAGAGACCGCTCGCGAATATCGGACGAGAAACGCGCCATACATTTGCTTGTTTAAAAGAAAAAAAAATGCGCGCACACACACGTTCGCTGTGCTGGTAATTTTAAGCAAGATAAAATTTTCGATTCTTTTAGGTAAATCCCGGGGGAGAAAGGATTCGAAGGATTAAATGATAAGACTCGCGCGACATTAGCTTTTCCGCGCATTTTTCTTATCTTCGCGCCACACTCCTTACAATTTTTGCTCTCTTCTCTTTTTGCTCTTATTACGCTATTCTCGTCGAGTGGTATTGTGCAAGTCGCGCAACTATGTGACATGCTTCGAACGTTCGCTCGACGTTTGCGCTCACCTTAGCTTATTGGCGAAATGAAAAAACAAGCGCTACTTAGTGCGCACATCAGGCGTTTCATTTATTAGATTCGCGGCGAAGCCTTTGCAGATAAAATTAAACCGCGACAAAATTCAATTTTGTGCTTTAGCCGGCTTCTGTGGCGTCCGGCGAAACTGACTACTCCGTCATTTCTCCATAAGTCACGTGTCGATCGCGATATGTATGCCTCTGCATATAGCATATGCAGTTTAGTTACAAACATGTTTACAATTAGAATTTAGTATTATCTCTCTCTCTCTCTCTCTCTCTTTGCTGGATATTATTTTTCAAAATTTTCTCTCTACCAGAGAGTAGAAATGCATTCTGTATAGTTATCATGCATAGTTATCTCATCATCAATACATTTAAGTTGTTATTAAGATTGCGATAAAAACAATTTTAATTTAATAATTGACTCAACACGAAGCATTAAATTGTTAATAGGTTTGTGATGGAAGCAGTTTTAATTTAATTAACTCAACACAAAGCAGGCGATATTGTTTTATATCCCGAAGATAAAATATTAGCTTATAATTCGATATATAACATTATTTTTCTTGGTATCCTCAAGAGAAATGACTGGATTGTTTCAGAATTTATTTATGTATTGATGTACGTTTTACAGATATTTATCAGATAAAATCATATATACTCCTTTATTTGCCAGAAATTTGTTTTTAATCATCACTTAAATCACAGATTTACCTGATAACGTCGATGTCGCGATCGTCGTAGTTTTATTGCTATATGCCGAAGCATGTTTTGCAAATTATCGGATTAATTGCCGTACACGCGATTGTGTTAAACGAACATCCCCGCGGTAAGTTTGCGCGGGAGCATTTCATATAGCCTACGACCATAATTCCACAGTGACCGCGTGTACCACAGCCGATCTAATTTTCTCACGTTGACTGCAATCAGCAGCAGCCGGAGCTATCGGACGGCATTTAATTATCGCGCAATCATATTGTCATCGGGCCGTAATATCTATGAAACATCACATAGCTGGTGCAATGGTACTAACGCGCCATTGTATCGCGAATTGAATCAGTTACTTCAGAAGGGAAAATTACGCGCGCGCTCGGAGGCTTCTGCTATAATAATCGCTCTCACCCCCCTCCGCGGAATTCTACATTATAATTTATCCCCGCTACCCTTTTATCCCTGCTATCATTCCATTTATAATATACTCATCGACCTTTCGTTCTCTTTACAGGGAAGAACCTGTACAATAATGAGCACGTAGCAATTAAAATGGTGAGTAAGAAACCGCGAGTTTTATGTAACTGTGATACGTGAAAAAAAAACTCCGGCGGACTTCCGCTGACGGGCTCGTCTGTTTTGCTTGCTGTTGCAGGAACCAATGAAGTCAAAGGCACCACAGCTACATTTAGAATATAGGTTTTACAAATTATTAGGTACACATGGTGAGTACTTCTTCTTCACTTTCACGTTCAAAACTTCGCGTAATAAGATTAAAGATATTGAAATTATATTAGATACAGTAAAGCGAAATTAGAGAATGTATATACTGTAGAGCAAAAAAAAAGAAGAGAAAGGAAATATGAAATATTCGCCTTAAAATATATAGATTTATAAAAAGTGGCGGTGAAGTAGAAGGTAGATTATTAATTCTACGACGCCTAAGATAAATCGATATGTCTCAAATAAACGTTCTCGACACTTTAGAGTGCCGTTAATCTTTCGTCGATGACGCTGCGAGAAAATAGTCCGGCAGCAATTCAAACCGACTTTGTACAATTTGTACGCGATACGACACGAGATATGTAATTTACTTCAATTTTCATACGATCTGAGTTAGTTAAATCTCACGCGAGAAACAATCGCGCGTGTAATTTCTGCACGCTTGACTAAAGCTCGACACAAAATTAGCGTCACGAATTGAGATCGTATCGGAAATGTACACCTCGTGTGTGTCATACCCGGAGATATAAACGTATCGCGTTTTTCATACATATAGGCTGCCCCGCATTATCTCTTAATGGCTAATTCTTCGGTCAATTTCGAGTCGATTTTTCCAAGGCGGAAACATCGAGGTCATCATTTGTCGCAATTTCGTAATTTTCAATATCTATACATAGCGAATGTGAGCGTCTAACGGCTATGCATTTGATAAACATCTTGTACTGCAGTCATTATCTTTATGATTATTCCCATTGGGAATAATCATTAATGACTAATGGGAATAAAGATTAATGACTAAATATTTCTGGATTATTTATTTAAGAAGAATTATTAATAACCGAGGTTTAAAACATTAAATTCTACCGGGAGTTTTACATATTCTGCAAAGTCATGAAAAATATTTACTAAATATCACAGTTCACGATAATGCAAAAATTTGTTCGTACCATATACTTTTTATTTCGCGCTACTTGCTCGTATCCACGTCAAACAAGCAATTAATCAGAAAATTTCAAATGTCCTCACGCGTGTTTTTAGTATTGTCGTTATAACAACTTTTCATCGTTCGTAGAGTTATATCTGCCTGATCTACCCGAGCCGTCACATTGCTCTTATTTTGCTTTACGCATTCCGTTTTACGCGACAAACTGAAACTTACTTAATATCGTGCAAATAAGTACTGGGGGTGATCTGGGGTGTGATCTGCTTTTGTCGATCGGTATAGTTCATAACACACATATAGAGGGTATACCGGAGGTGTACTACTTCGGCCCGTGCGGGAAGTACAACGCCCTGGTGATGGAACTCCTCGGTCCGAGCCTCGAGGACCTCTTCGACCTCTGCGGGAGGAGGTTCACCCTCAAGACCGTTCTCAACATTGCCACACAGCTCGTAAGTCGTATTACCGTAACACTTTCGACCCCACAGAACTAACTTCTCAAGCAACCGCACTTCGGAGGTCGATCTCAAACACCAGACTGCGGTGTTTGAGATCCGGCAAACCTCGCAAACATCAATCGCTTGGCATTCGCTATATTTCTCCTCGGATTTTTTGTTTCCTTTTTATCATCCGAGGGATTTGCTCGAAGACTTAATATATGAACTAAATAGGAAATATAAAATAGTCAATTCAAAATTATTGCAATAGTAAATCGCACCGCAAAATTAAAAATCTATAATCTATATTCGATAGAATAAAATGGAAATATTTCTTTTTTTCCAACAGCTCCATAGGATAGAATACGTTCATAGTCGGCATTTGATATACCGCGACATCAAGCCGGAAAATTTTCTGATAGGACGATCCACTACCAAGCGGGAAAAAATCATTCACATAATCGATTTTGGACTAGCCAAAGAGTATATAGACCTGGAGACGAACAAGCATATACCGTATCGGGAACACAAGAGTCTCACCGGCACGGCGCGTTACATGAGCATTAACACGCATCTTGGCAAAGGTAACGGGCATTTACTTTGTTTCATCGCTCGCGCGCGCGCGCGCATCGCGGTGCATAATAAACCGCCACGTGCTAAGCCATCGCTTAGCTCGGGAGAAAGCGCGGCGTGTGCTTTAATCTTCAGCAGGTATCACGAGGTCTTTTAAACCTCGAACAATACAACTCAAAGTAATTTAAATTTTAATAGTCTTTTAAATGTGGAATAACATAAACATACTGCGGCATACCGAGGACTTAACAGAACCTTGCGGTATCTGCTGGGGCTCAAGCTATCGCGAATATCGTTTTTATAACGCGCTTCCTTTTCCTGGAATCTTTTTTTTTTTAATTCTGTATCTTTTAATATGTCATGTATACGAGTAATGAAATTTTCTATCGTATAGATAAGCCGAAAGTTATGTGAAGTGTACGAAAAATATATGTTTTACCGTAAACAGAGCAGAGCAGAAGAGACGACCTGGAGGCGTTGGGCCACATGTTCATGTACTTCCTGCGTGGCAGCCTGCCATGGCAAGGACTCAAGGCCGACACGCTGAAGGAGCGCTACCAAAAGATCGGCGACACGAAACGGGCGACGCCGATCGAGGTACTTTGCGACGGCCATCCCGAGGAGATGGCCACGTATCTGCGCTACGTACGCAGGCTGGACTTCTTCGAGACGCCGGACTACGAGTATTTGAGGAAGCTCTTCCACGATCTGTACGAGAGACGTGGCTTCGTCAACGACGGCGAATTTGACTGGACCGGCAAGACTATGGTGCGTATCAAATGATCGCGCATGTCGATCCCTTTGTTTGTTCATGTTGCGCAAAAAGTTTTTGCAAAAGCTTCAGCAAATGTCACGTTCGGCGCATCACTTTTTATCCGGTAATCCGCGAAAACAGTGACGTCAATGTATGCATGTTAACTTGTTTGTTATATCGAGAAAAACGCCGGTGATAACAACCGTCACTTCAACAAGAGAAAACGAATCGACGAGTGAATCGTGATCTTGCATTGACGTTATCTATATTTTCCTCTCCAATAACGTTTAAAAAAAACGGGGATTTTATCGTTTGCGTCATTTATTTGTGAGTGATCTTACATAATTAGAAAATTTTTCACCAAGTATTTTTCGTCAAAATGTTATTTTGATCTTTGAAATGTAAAGATTGTAAAAATGACGGTAAAATAATATTTACGAACGATTCGACGATACAAAGGTCGACACCGTTTCTTTTTTCTTTTGGTAAAGGATTCCCCTGTTTTTTAAAATTATTTCTATTTTCTGAATTGAAATTTTTGATTGTAATTTTTTTTTGTTAGTCATAACTTTGTCTAAATGATAATTTGGGGGGAGGGGTGGGCGGAAGGCTCTGACAGTTGGGTAAGTAAATCGCCCGCCTATATTCCAACAGACCCGCAACATAGAGCTGTGCGGTGCCGAAGAGCAGTTTCACATTTGATTTTTAACGTTTGCATGCTGCCTTTCCTCTCAATGCACTATCTCTAGCCATCCTTCGAGAACTTCGAGACCATGAGAGCGCTGCGGATGGCGGCCCCCTCGCATATCGGCAAAACTAAGTCCGACAAGGTTGGTGGTGGTACTCACACGAGTAGCGAACATATCTCACGAAAGATAATTGCAGCCGTAATAATTGAGCTTTGATATCTCTTTGTAAACATTGCAATGTAATTCGCAATTCTTTCAATGTAGTAAAGTATACCGTTGTGTTATCAAAATATTCTAAATAATCATTACCATTTGTCACGGCCGACTGGCCTTATACATACACACACACACACACACACACATACAGGGATCTAACGTGATTGTGATGTCACAGGTCTTCTGTTAAGCATAAATTAAAGTGCACAGTCCGTCAATAAGTCTGTCTGTCTGTCTGTCTGTCTGTCTGTCTATCCGCTTTCCAGCTCCAAGTATGTTATCTATATACCTCGTGGAATACGTAGAAGCGCGCGATATAACCGGCGCTCATTACAAACTTTCATTCATTATGCGTTGTATATAAAGTATAAAACGTTTTCTCTTTCATTACAGTCCACGCCCGTCGGATCCCTCCAAACCGGCCAGGAGATCGTCGTATCACCGAATCGCGATCGGCATCCCGCCGCTTACAAGGTATTCCTTGTTTTTCTCTTCCTACCTCTTTCTTTTCTTCTCTCTCTCTCTCTCTCTCTCTCTCTCTCTCTCTCAGCCAAAACGCATGGACGTGTGTAGCCCATTTGTTTATTCGAGTTAACCGCATGGATACACGCCTCTCAGTAGCGAAAGAATCGAAAACAGAGTTTTAACAACGACCTTGATTCAGAACTCTTGTTGTTTATCTCGGGGTAGAGATACCGATCGGTATACGAGCAAACATTTTTCCGGGATGGTACCGACGGCGCCGGTGTATTAATTTACTAAATACAAAAAACGAAAGCACAACAACGCGGCCTATATGCCGGTTTCTTCTCCGAGCACGTAATCCAACGCAAATGTGATTGGTGCGTCAATTTGTAGGAGTACGATGATTTTGAGGAGGATGTGATCCTCATGATGGATGAGGTTCGCTTCGAATTGCAAGGCCGATACGTAAGCCAACCTTATACAGGTTACGCTCGATGGAATCGACTTCTTCATGCATGCTTTTATCTTATCAGCGGCGAGAGATGACTATACACAGTCGGAAAGATATCCGCGGTTGCATTTTATAATGCGCATTATTAATGTTTTTCTACTCGTAAAACAAGGTCGCGCGCGTGGTTTAACGATCGTGGAGCGTGAACTCGGCGAACTCGCGCCTAATCAATAGTCGATTAACAGATTGATAGCGGCAATAAATTTTCTTTCATTCAGCGTTCTATTAGAGTGACTAAATATAGATGACGGACCGTGACGAAGTCTCGGTCTCGCGTTGCGAGGCGATACGCGTTCAGTTCGAAAATCTATGTGATAGCGATAAACTCATGCACGAAGAAGCAATTTCGCCATGGTTGCTTAAGTAGCTCAACCGGCTTGTAATAAGCTAGAACCAGGAAATTTGCTGCATCCTTTCCTCAGTAGTTCATCTAATTGAAACGTATGAAGATATTTTAACGCGTAGATAATTTCAAACATCCCATTTATCAGAGATTGCGAACCGCATTTTCATCCCCCTAATATAGAGATTAATATCGGATTAGATTAATCTTATTAATGCGCGGATAATCTCGCGTTTGTCGTCGCGGATCGCCATGCCCAAAAAGAATTTCTCTGCCCGCGATTCTCTCTCCTCGACGTCCTTTTTTTTTCTACTGTCCTATACTACTTTACTCGCGGAGTTGTTTAACGCGACGCAACTGCGAAATTGTCATGCTTGTTCCTTCAGGATGTGGCAGGTGGAGGGGTGGGAGGTGGGGGCGGTAAGGGGGTGGGAGCCACGTGGCCAGATACTGTGAAGCAATCAGGAGCCGGTGGTACATTGACACCTGCTGACAGGCACGGTTCTGTACAGGTGAGTTTACCTGCGCATCTTCCGTTCTTCCTCTCTCTCTTTCTCTCTCTCTCTCTTTCTCGTGGCCATTATCTCGACCTCCCAAAAAGCTTCTCCCTTTTTTTCTCGACTTTCTTTGCATCTTCTCGTTTCTTATTTATCTGCCGATTCACTAGCAATCCCGCGGAGGAGAACGCTGACGCGACATTGAGAAATTCACACGTTAAATCTACGTTAAAATACTTAATCTCTCATCTCGTACACCTCTTTCCCCGCGAAAAACACGTAAGAATTCTTAAAGATCGTATAGAGATACGCCGCGTGATATACGGAAGGTATCGATCAAGGGCGAAATTATGCATTGGCCTTCATTTAGCTATCATCTTTCTCGTCTCTCTCACTCTCTCATAACGTCCGACGTATATACGGGATGCCTCAATTTATCAGGAGTAAACTGTTCGCTCTATATTTCTAGACGAAGCACCACTGGATTATGGTCAGTTAGAAGTCTGTGCAATTTGACTTGTTGCGGCATGTTGTCTTTGTGTCGATTGTGATCGAGACTTACCTTCTTTCTTTGATTGGATATGAGATACTAATCCGGTATTAGTACGATCACTTGTCTTCCCATGCACTTGCAATAACAAAAAGTATCATCATCACGTACGAACCGTACGACTTTTGAGGAAGATCAGAGTTTTATTACTTACGCTTCTTTTTTTTTTACTTTAGTATGTTGCTTTATTGAATCTATGTATGAGCAGTAGTCTTGTCTTATGTTAAATTTTCACCTTTCTCCCCTTCCTTTGCCACGTAAAACTTCACTCTTTATGTAACTTGCAAGTAGACATTGGACAAATCAATTTTTTATGTGTACATTACTTTAAATCCCAGTAGAGCAAAAAGAAATTCTTTTCCCAATTTTCACGTCCAATATAGTATCGAAAATGTAAAATCTCTATGTAAATTGTATTTATGTAAAAGTCCCTTAATGTAATATCTATATATTTGTTTTCGTACACTTTTGCTATAACGTTGTAACGATGTGCATAGGTGGTATCGTCAACTAATGGAGAACTGGCTAACGATGACCCGACCGCTGGCCACTCCAACACACCAATCACAGCACCTCAGGAAGTGGACATGATCGACGAAACCAAGTTAGTAGCAGTTTGTTTTATCACAATTCATCTCTCTGTCTGTTCTCTCCTAAATAAGAATAAAATTTAAACGAATGAAATTGCAACTGTCTAATAGATTTCGCGATTGTTTTTCTTCCATTGTTTCTTCCATTTTTATATCGTGTATAATTCTGAAATTTTATTACTATAATTTACTCGAGAGAAAGCCTTAGTTCTAAACTTCGACTATTAAAATAAACGTTAAAGTCAGAGTAAAGAAAATAATAGCAAATTATATCAATTGCATATTGAAAATATAAAAGATTGAATTAAATTAGATGAGCGTCCGATTTAAACTATGCATGTGTGTGTGTGCGTGTGTGTTATTTCCAGAAAAGTAATTCAACTAAAACGGAAACATTGTCCTCGATGTGGAAAATTGTTGTTGTTCCGATCTTTACAAGCAAACATTTCCAGCATCTATCCTACCCCCATTCCCGAACTAGGCTCGTTACACCAATTAAACTGGTCAGTTCAAGATTTTCTGTTCCGCAACATAAGAAGAAGAGACATATAATCTTTAATAATATTTGCTAAATATTATTAAAGATTAATTATCACAGAAATTTTATTACTAGATTGATAATGATGAAAAAAATCGGTGCCACGAATAAAATATGAAATTACAATAAGGTGACTATATATTGATACAATAATATTATCTTAGAATAATATTACAGTAATGTAGTATACCAGTTTTGTACGCTATTGGTTCTCATAATATAAATCATATTTACGATTCGTATAAGATATAGGGACAAGATTTGATTTGATTTGATTTAGAGATAAATATTTGTCATTATCGTAAAATAAAATAAATGTTTCTTTGTGTCATTAAATATTTTTATTATATCTAATGCGGGAAGATTTGACTGTTATGTTGTCAATGTATTATAAACAGCATAGATCATCTAGAGAGAAAGAATTTTATTTATACATAATTTAGACAATATTTAATTTAAGCAAGTCGCACGTCCCGTCTTTTCAATTATGCTGTACTAATATCGGAACGATGTATTTCTCTATTTGACGTAATTAAATGTGCGTATTTTTTGTTTATTCCGTATTCTCTACTCGTTTCATATTCCTATCCTTTTCTTTCCTCATCATTGCTAAACGAATTTTGATAAAATCGTATTAATACTGCATGCTCAATTAACATAACATATAACTATATTTTCACGCAATCAAATAATCTTATCTGGTATTTTGTTGAGAGACCGACAAATGTCGTATCACGCGATCGTATACAAACCGAATGCAAACTGTTGTCCCATCTCTGCTGCATGCTCAATGTGTTGATCAACGAAAGACGCTGCCAAGGGGACGACTCTAAGTCCTATTAGTGTTTGCTTCATTTCCAGATGCTGTTGCTTCTTCAAGCGCAAGAAGAAGAAAAGTGGAAGGCAGAAATGACTGTCCGTTACCGTTGGTCTCGGGGGGGCGGTGCAGTGCGCGGGTAATAGTGCCGACGAGACCGTGGGAGCCGTCGCCACGACGTCAAGGACTGGCAAGCGCGGCGCGGGGACGGGGGCACGCGCGGGCGCAGGTACTGCAGGTGGTGGTATCGCAGGCGGCGCCGATCCCGAGAGAGAAGCCGTCACCCTGCTGCGCGTCGGCAGCCGTTCCGCGTCACGGGACTCGGTGCTGCACACCACCGTCACGATGACGCCGACGCCGACGCCGCCGCCGTTGTCGAACTGAATTATCATCGTCATCATCATCACCGTCACCATCACCATCACCATCATCACCACTACATCACTATCACCACCACCATCACCACCACCACGCAGCCATTCTACTACCGCTATTATCATTAATTGGACGGTTGCACGACTGAGTCGAGATCGAGAGAATGAAGCTGCTTTTCCTCTGGCCAATCGAGCTGATCTCTTCGGTAAATAGGCGGACTCGCTGACGACAATTCAGGCACTCGCTCCTCGGTGTAGTGAAATTCTGTAGTAATCTCATTGTCAGTATCGTCGCGATCAGAACTGCCTTGGCTATGCGTTACGATGAAAGCGCGGTCAATTATCGGCTTTACTTAAAACTAACTCTGTACTCGGAGAACTTGATACATTGATGCCGAACTTTCATTGAGCTTTGTCAGGAGTTGCCGGGTCTCGTTTTCGTCAACTCATTTCTTTTAATAGAGTACAGTCTGGACAGATGGAACACGGCTAATAACGATATATTTTGCGACCGTAAAGTTTTTCTCGGTGAAAATTTAATTATTGATCTTTAAATTAAATGCTGAAATCCAATAAGGAATTAAGGAATTTATATTGTTCATTATCTTTTCGAGAGTATAATGATGTGATGAGCATGAAAATTAGTGCAATATAAAATGAGATTTTTGCATGTTTTCCACATGTTTGTCCGACGAGACGTGATTGACTAATCTCGTCATGACTAATAAATTCAATTAATCGATAATTAAATTCCCCCGTAAACCTTCTCTAAGGTCAATCGATTTCTAGCCACTGGTATCCATCTTTTTCCATGCGCCTCGTATGCATCTTGTAGTTTTGTTCGATTTACACCCTTCCCTCATTCTTATTCGAATGGGCTGATGAATATTCCTTGTGGCCTTGAGCTACTGATAGAAGTCAAGACGTTAGCGAATCCACTTACCTACTTACTGAATAAATTCTCTCGTTTAGCCAAGAAAAGTGACCTCGTGCTATTAGATTATTGCTACTATTGTCATGATTACATTTCATCTTGTTGCTGCCCACTACCCACTACTATTACTATTTACTACTGCTACCATTTACTACTACTAGGTACTACGATTACTATTATTATAATGATTATTCTTCATTATTTTATTTCATTATTATTATTGATATTATTATTATGTTGATCATCTTTATCGTCATTGTCATCATCGTTAATCATTATCGTCATCGTTTCCATTGTCACTATCATCATTCCCATTGTCCATATCCGCGTTTATCAATTACGTTGTTATCGATGTCATCAATATATTGACATGTCGCTGTTGACTGAGAACGGTCGTCGGCCGTGACGGCGGCCATGACGTTTCAGTATCGGGGAAACCAGCTGGATCACACATCCGCGTTACACATAAGAGTTAAGAAGAAGGAATTGACGTACCGATGTGTTGAGAGAACTTGTTTGTGCCTACGACTTTTCTTGAAACACGGGGGACGCTTTTTAAAATACACCGCCGCGTTGTTGCGATGGATACACGTCGTGGCGATACTCGTCGTGCGATCGCATGTATTAACTGTGAATTATAACGAATTGAAACTACTCCGCAGATCTCATTGTATTCACAGCCCTCTGCAGGATGCGAACGAGCGTAGCGTGTTCCCGAATTCGTTGTAATCGTGATTTCGATTGTCGCGAAGTCCGATTATAGTAGTCCTCTTGAAAGGCATGAAACTGAAGAGGAGAACAGGAAAACGACGATCGTGCGTTTCACCGACCCGCGGGGACGGGATATCGAGACGTCGGATATCTGTAAATAAGTGCTCTCATTTTGTCCCTCGTCGAGTCCACAAATTGCAAATCGAACGCGTCACGAGTCGCGAGAACGTATAGTGCTATGTGTAAAGTGAGAGTTCGTGTTCTTCTGATTTTACTAGGTACTTTTATTAACTTTAATTTTGAGTTTTTACATTATAGGGGATGTGAAAGAGCAGCATTATATAATTGTTATTGATAAGCGCTACCGAGATAATACTGAACCGTATCCGTACTAAACAGTCTTAAACTGTTCCAGCCGTGCGTTTAATCGAAATGATTTCTTTAATATGTGTACACTGCCTATTTTTTCTACACGGCGATCATGGATGCACGATAGTTTTATCATCACCATATACGGATCGTAACTAAATATACATTAGATAAACGTTTTGCCATAAATTTCTCAAGCAAAACGCGAAATGTCTCTTTGTGAATATCATGATACGATCATCACGCTCGCGTATTACTTACAATAATTTCCCAATTTTCCGCCCGCGTAATTAAAAAAAAAAGAACGACGTGAATCGCGCAGAGAATTTCGCACACAGTTTCCAAAGTGATATCATCAGGCTTCGGTTTCATGCCTTCCAAAATGAAATTATCATGTGAGAAAGTGATCTATCGCGATGAACAGTTGAAACAATTACATTTTACATAACATATCGATGAAGTAAGGTTTTTTCTGTCTGTAGACTCTATAGCGTATATAATGAAAATTTAGTAACGCGTAAATGCGAGAAAATTATGTGACATAGCCGAAATTATGTGACGTTGCAGTCGAATTCGTGTTCCACCACCAGTGTGTATCGATTAAAAACAAAAAAGAGAGGAAAAGAAAGAAAAAAAATACGATAAAAGGAATAGTAAAGAGAAGCGAATTTCTTTCGATACGAATTATCTCCTCTGCGAAGAAGAGTGCGACGTTCGCGGACAGCTCTTGTTTCTCGATCCACGCGCGTTTTCGATTATTAAAAAGGACCTTAACGAACAACTGAGAGGAGGGAGAGAATCAACGGTATGTGTCCGCGCCTGATTCTATTTCGATGTTCTTGATATGCAAACCTACGTCGTTGGAATTGATAATAAAAGCTGGAACCGAATATGTACGTGATCTTCATCGAGATTGATTCTAAATGCGAAACGGAAGAGATGAATCATCGAGTACATGCAATAACGTAAAGATTTCACTTTGTAACGAACTCTCTCTCTGCTGCGAATACATTTGAATCCATTATTTTTCATGATGAGGAGAGCCTTACCGTGTCGCGGGGCGTTTCTAGGGAGTTACACGAAGTGACACGTGCGATTTTCTGCTAATGGCTCGCGACGAAACGTTCAAGCGACCAAGAGACCAAATCAGACGAAATTATGTACGAAAATTCGGAGAGCACACGGAGAGCAAGGATCTCGTCAGCCGTACTGATTAAACAAGCAGGTAAGAATATATGATTATAATTACTTATTATTGATTATTTATTCGTAATTATTTATTTAAATTCGCGACTTTAAACAAAATTTTCTCGCTTAAATTGAAAAATTCCTCAGATTTCTAACATTTCTTACAACTTAAGCATGTTAGAATAAAGTATTAGATTTGTGACATTTCTTAGAATTTAGTGTATTAGAATCAAATATAAAAAATTCAAAGATTTGTAAACTTATTGTGTCTGATTTATTGTCTGATACTAAGAAGAAATCGGAGATTTTCAGTACAATCTTTTTTTTTTACGTAAAGCATTCGCAGAAGTGTTTCTGAGAAAACAAACCCACGTCTTCCGTTTTCAGAGTTTCCCAGGGAGACCATTTCCCGTTAGACTCGTATTACTTGTTTGCACCCAAAGGTATAGTTAAACTCTGTTTTTTTTTTTGCAGGGACGGTAAACGGCAGGTCGAGCGAGGAGTAAGGAGGCGCGGAGGTGGCGAGTGTGAAGAAACATGTGTTACGTCCAATGGTCCACACCTACACGCTAGTCTGGCCGATGACTTCGTACCACCGCTCCCGCGATGTTATATGCGCATACGTACTAATGTAATACGCCACCGTACCACCACGTTGTATCCACGTTGAATACCTTAAATACCCGGCAACCGCGTCCGAAACACAAACAGGAAACCCATGTACTTACGGAGCTACTCGCGTACTCGTACCGTAGTATGTATACTCTCGTCGTGCATGCTCTCGTACGATAAAAGGCGAAAGACGAGAGACGGAAGAGAGGGAGGAACCACTCCGTCGAACGTGTTGAAAAGTGATACGCTTAAAAAAAAATCATAGAGATCATAAACTCTACTCTATGGATTTCGTCTTTCTCTCTCTTTTTCTCTCTCTCTCTCTCTCTCCCTCTCTCATTATCTCTGTATCTTCTCACTGTCGACACACCGCAAGAGCATCGTTCCTTTCTTTTGTAAGCTTAGGCCGCAGCTAGGCGAGCGAACATCGAAAACAATCAGTCGTTCTACATTTATATCAGCGAACGCAAAAAGAGAATGAATGATCCGACGAATGCCTGACACCAGACGATACCCGCGTGTGGAAAGAGAAGTGCGAGTCGAGAGAAGAGTCGTTATATACTCCGGGAACGCTTTCCTCCCGGCGAGGCCGGTCCACAGCTTCGCGCGCGAGTCGTATCCGCCGTGTATTTGTACATAAGACACTAGACCGCGATTGTCGCGTGACGCGTATGCGTCACGTGTGTATGCGCGAATCGTTCTTGCGACTGCGAGTAGAATTTCGCGCGATAAATTCAATTAGCGAGCGGCGCATATGATTGTAATTCCCGATCGGATGAGGAGAGGACGTGCGTGCGTGTGTGTGTGTGTGCGCGCGAGAGGTCCATGTGGACGCGACGTAAGAGTAAAGAGAAAGAGTGAGAGAGAAACGTCTCCGATATTTATATCACTGTCTTGCCACCGGGGAATCCCGTGCTGTGGCGTAATTAATAATAAAACCCGTTGTGCAATCATGTTGCGCAAGGACGTTTAGCCCGTAGTTTTCTAGCTGATTTTTGAAAGCGCGCGCGCGCAAAGTCACAATTTTTAATATAACACGACTGACTGCTGGTTAAGTATGGTTGTGAGTCCAAAAAGTCCTGGTCTCCTCGGACATTGTAGACACACACACACACACATACACGTGACACACACCACGTACACACAGAACTCATACATTTTTTCAGTTCCCTTAGATATGTACGGAGAGAAGAGCGATTGTCGCATACGCGCTTGGGACGGGAATTAAGGACTCGCTGTAATCCAAAAAAACGACCATCTCCTCCGCTCGAGAGACACTTTTCCTTTTCTTCTTTTTTGTATATTTGTAAATTGGAGTAACGAGCAGAGAGATCGGGCCAGGATCGATGTATCCTTTCGGTGTCTTTCATTCCACGACTCGGTCGGTCGAAGAGCGGCGTATACAGCGATAAATGTGATCGTGCGTATCTGTGGGAAAAAAATGAGGCTGCGTAATTATCTTGTTGCGTAAAGCGTAACTTCGAGAGAGAGAGAGAGAGAGAAATTGTGGATGATCATGCGTTTCCCCTCGTGTGTTGTGATCATTTAGTTGCATTGATACGTTGATTCTCGGTGATGTTGGAAAGATGATGGGAGACTCCTGAGATTAAGTTAATCAGCACTATAGTTTCTCGCGTAGTGAGGCTTATGTGTATACATTTTTTGACTTACTATATGTTCGTACTGTTTTAATGGACGAATTGTTGAAAAAATAAAATCGCTGATTGCTACGATAATAAGAAATCGCCGTTTTTATCGGGATCGGCAGCTCACACGCGTGTGGGCGTGCGTGTTACGTGTGTGTTCGATATTTTATTAGGAACACAAGATTTACGAGGCGCGCAATTACAATTATAGATAGAATTACGATCGCGCGTGTGGATTTGTGTCGTAAACTGTCATCGTTTTTATGGACACAACGAGGAGAAAAAAAAATTAAGAAAGAGATAGAAAATTAACGTACGCGCAAAGCGTGCATTTATTTTGTTCTGACGTAGTAGTAAATCGTGAAAATGCAATTTTTTTACTACGATACTATTATGCGAGACTAGTGTATCCTTACCGTCTTAATTTTCCTTTTATCACGTAACTGACGTAATGTGTCATCGCGAGAACAGATGTGTTCTTTATAAGAAAGTTAACGAAACGAAGCTAGAGAGTGTGACGATATATTTGTATAGGTGCGGATTTGTTGAAGTACTGTGCACATTCTATGAGATTGCGTTAGCGACGCGATTCTTCGTCGCGTGGACAATGTAAAGTCGATCCGTATCCCGGTCAACATTACGTTCTTTAACAGGGGGGCAGGAAATTCAACGCCGCTCCCTTCACGTGTGGATTCGTTTTCTTTCCACTCGCATTTTCGAACTGACCTATCCGAAAACCGAGCAAACTTGTATATAGCGATTAAATTGTTTTAGTACTATCATAGTGAGAATTATGTGTTTGCACGCGCCCGTATGCACGTGTGCATATGGGTGTGTGATTGGGAAAGAGAGGAGAGTGGTTTACATAAAGAAAAAAGGACATTATATATATATACATATAACGAGACTGAATGATATATTATATACGTCGGACCATGACAAACCGCGACCGATTGTCTTACATTTGCATTTTATCAACATGAACAGTGATGATGATTATTATTATTATTATATAATAATATAACGCGAATTATAATTATACGCGAAGAAAGAAAAAACGAAAGTCTCTCAATTACCGATTCTAACGAACTGAATATGTATATCTCTCTCCCCCTATAGCGAAGATTTTATTATATATACGTAAGCTGTGATTGCTATATCATAAATTTTAACTTAAACTACTGATTATGCTTTTTTTTTTTGTTTAACGATTATACTGAAACCGTCTGGCGAGGCGCTTTAACAGGAGGACTTAAAGAGGAAAAAAAAATGAACGAAGAAAATAAGAAAAAAAAAAGACATTGAGACTTGCGTGGAAGCTTATTCTTGTAAATATGTGTTGTGTCTATTGCGCTTAGCGAGTAAGAAAAAAAAATGAGAAAAAAAGTTCTTAATGAAAGTTCCTGCTTACTTTCTCCACGAAAGGGGTTTCTTTTCATTCATTTATCTTTATCTCTGTCACTTTGCGATATTTTCATTATCGTTTCGACGTTCAGCAATTCTCTGTGCTTCTCCAACATCTCCAGCAGTATCGGCTCCTCCTGCAGCATGTGACCGGACACCGCTATGAAGCTTCTGATGAGTTTCTTCATTATGTTTATTTTCCGTATGGTCCTTTCCATTCTGTTTTTATTTCTGAAAGAGGAAACGAAAGGTTTTAAATTTCGTAAGACACGAGAGTTTCGAGTTTGTTTCCGCAGCTCTTCACTCACTCTACGATCTCTGGATTCGTCTTCTGCAATCTTTCGCTTCGCAGCTGCTCCTGCTGCTTGAGAAAGTTCTTGTGATCGAACAGCGCCTTCTGACACTCGACTTTCAGATCCAGCTGTATTTGAGACTCCTTCTCGATGGTCTCCTGAATGGCTATAGCGCTGTCGTTGAGAGTGAACAGTTTACCCATGTACTCGTAGAGCTTCCTGGGAGCAAGCAAAAAATTGAAATCTCGTCGCGTTTCTTTACACGATGACATTTCGATTTGCCTTCTGAAATCAATTTGGCTACAATTAACACATTTACATAAGTTTGTTTCTCACTTTTGGTCCTCCTCACTGCCCTCCATGTTGCCGAGAATGGAGAGGATGGTGGTGCTGTGAAGGCACAATTTGACAGCCTTGGCGTTTATGAGCTTGTCGCTCACGACACTCGGCATGTCTCGGACCTCATCCTCGCTCCCTCTGCGCCTGCCATCGCTGGACTCTGTAACGTGAAACGCGGATTTTATCAGGACGAGATTCTTTTTAGTTAAAAAGGAAAGAGAAACCGGCGCGCGCTCTGCATCGTCAACGACGACGTACGTTTGTACTTCGCTTTAAGCAGTAACGACCTGGCGTTCAGGTGCATCAGCGACTCCCTGGTAGTCCGGATCTTCTCCTCGGTCGGCTTGAAGTCGTCCATCGAGATCGCGCCGATCGGGAACCTGTCCATCACCGCGCTCAGCTTCCCCACGGACCGCTCCAGCTCGTCGAGCTCCACCATCATCGACTTCGCGGAGTCCTCCGAGAGTACCTCTCGTGAGGCAGAGGTACCGGCTTCAGGTGCTTCGGGAAGCTCGTAGTCCTCCATTTCCGTCATTGCTTGCCGAAACTGCGCGACGTTCGTAAGTTCGTTTTCGACGTGTACCGCACACGAATAATGAAAAATTATACGACGATTTCACGAGTCTGCGGCGCGACGCGGCATGGGCAGATGCGGCGGATTGTTTACCATTCCCGGCCGACCCGCGTTTTGACAGTTTTGAAAGTCCGAGCACGCGTGCCTCCTCGGAAATAAAAAACTCACTAGATCCAGATCCGCGTTGCCAACTGTATCATATTACCGACTGCCGACATAATCGTGGACGTTGGCTACGTAGTTCATTGGCTACGTAGCGCAGCTACATCGCGGGCATGATCAGGCATGGGCCGCTCTTAAGGTTAGGATCCTCCTGCGCCAGTACAGTGCATGAACGAGACTCATCGTGTTTATATGAATCCGTTACCATGACAGCGGATTTGAATCAGCGAGACCGGAGTGTGTAAATACGTGGCAATATATTTGCCGAATTTGTTATTTTGTATAGAATATTTTATGGAACTTAATGAAATGATGGAAGCGCCGAAATCCGACGTTCAAATTATTTTGAGCATAAAAGAAGGTAAAATGTTTTTATAGATAAGTATGTTCTTACCTCGAGAACGTTGCAAGTTCTGTTTCTCAAGTCATGTGTTTTTCCTTATGAAAATTTCTTTCCAAGGAAATATACTTATTCCTTTTAATTATATTATAATAATTGGACAAAAAGAAGAAATATTGTTATCAATTTATGTAATTTATGAATGAATTATTCGTTAATGTCATAAAAGCATGGTGATGATTAATTTTTATGTGGAACTTGAATTCACAAAGAAAATCAATTGTTATTCATCGAATTATTGGGATCAAATAAAATTGTATGTTACAGGGAAGGGTTTTGAACAAGTTTTACAACCTACATTATTGATTGCTACTTTAAACGGGCACTGCTTAGAAACTGACAGAATCGAGTCGTGTCCGACTCCGCAATATGCCACTGACTTGGTTTGGGAGACCAATAAAATAGTCCTGAGAAGGTAAGAATGTAATGTTTTTTTTCTTATTTAATCTTTTTTCTTATTGCCATCAGTCATTAATAAAATATATTGATATTTTATATTGCATTTCATTTTGTATTCAATTTATAGAATGCGATCAGAGCAAGCCTCATTAAAATTAGAATGCTTTGCTTTTAAAGAGAACGAGGGTAGAGAGAAAATCGGATATGTTCTGCTGAACATACGTTCTGCGCAAGTAATATCTAAATGTGGTGATCTGAGTCCGAAGGCAAGTTGGCACAAAATACTGGGATTACGAAGTGACCTTAAAATACAAAAGCCTGAATTACTTCTTGTATTAACAGTCGAAGATCGAAAGGACATCAATTTAAATTCAGCAGCGGAGGTAAAATATACTGTTATTTTGTATGACTATAATATATAGTATGTTTTGAGTTTGATAATAATCATACATTACATTCTCCTGGTAATCAAGTAACAAGTAATTATTAGTAATAAATAATAGAATGATACAATAAATCATTAAATTATAATTATAATTCTATAAAATACATAATATAAATATTGTATCATATTGTCATATTATATTATTTCATAGCTAAGAAATTTAATGATAGACAAAGACGTTGTTTTGGAAAATGATAAAATAATCCCTTACTTGCATCCTGATGAACAACTGATTCAGTTAGGACCTCCAGATACCTGTTGTGAATTATTCATATTAAATATCACGGCCATGTGTATAGAAAATTTGCATTTACTGTTACTTGAACATCTGAACAAACATAGCATTGTACATTTCTCGTATCGAGTTCTGGAAAACGATGTAGAACTTAAACCGTTCAAGACAGAGCCCGGAAAATCTCATTTCGTCCCTGAAAAAGTGACAGTGAGAATACGAAGCTCCTTGAGTGTCTTAAAGCAATACCTACAATTGAAGCCGTATTTGTTAATATACTTGAAGCATGAAAATAGTATAATAGCCGAATCGTCAGTCAATCTGCAATCTCTAGTACCCGCGGATAGTCTGCAAGAATTTGTCAAATGTGCCGCAAATGCGAGCACTACTTTACACGAGCAATGTTTTTTAATTAAGCAAGATTCGAAGATGGAAAAACTCGTTGAAAACCATCAGAAATCTTATCTTGATTTGCAACTTAAATTGCAATATATCGAAAGTAAAACAAATGTTTTCTTCGATTCTGATACAATAAATTCTAAAAATCGCATATCTAACGCTCAACTGAATCGTAATGAAGAAAGTATAAATAGTATCGACCAGGTAGAATAGGAATTTAGTTGTTTTTATCGACGATATCGCATTTCAGTGATTATGTCATATTGAAAATTGATAAAAATTATGTCTGACTTGAAACGATGCCTGTGATTTCAGAGACGCCCAGAGGTCGAGTCTCACAGAAATCCTAGTGGCGACTTTGGAAAGTCCAGTTTCAGGAATGTTCCTAGCGAAGCAAAATGTACAACAGAATATAAAAATATAAATAAACAGTCCGCTGAATGCCAATGCTTGAAACGTCAAACGGATAGAGTTACATGTTCGCGCTCGTGCGATGGAATGCTTTACAATTCTGTTAATAAAAATCACACCAAAGATGCAGGACCTTATCACTGCTATTGTCTACGCATCTCGCTTGTGGCGATAACATTGGTATCTGAAACGCTGTCTGGACGAGGAATTGAATTTCGGTTTGTGTTTGATCGTAACAATTTCCAATTTAAAAAAATATAAGGATATTTTCTTTTTAGAGTTTTGTTTAATATAAATATAATCTTTATGCAGATTTCATCATCCAAAAACTGAGGTCATGTCAACGGCGCACGCGAGAATGCCAGTCTTATCGAACGAGAAGATCAAATTGCAAGATGTCGTATGTCAATTTCATTTTATATCCGCACCAGATGAAATAGAACAATTACTACAATCTTTTCCACCGAAAATCAGCATATATGACACGAAGGAGGGTGATGAATTGTCACTGTTAGTGCTTGATGTAAAACCGTTATTTTATCAAGAAAAGGTAATACTAATGTCACATTTAGAAAGATCTTACAGAATAATAAAAATTAAAACGAGAATTTTTTTCAGTCCGAATGTCAGTATAAATTATCTATGTTTGATACGCACCGAAATAAAATTGCTGATATGGACGTTGTACTCAAGTTAGAAGATCGTGGACCGCATTGCATATTAAAGAAACAAACTATCGGTAAAAAAAAATATACATTAAATTTATTAAACTTTTCTTATTGCTTATTTCCTATTGCATTATTTTTAACGATAGATTTTGTCTCTCTATTTATTGAAATGGTTTATTTAAGATAAAAATCTTGGCCCACCGATATTGGACGACAGTTTAGCGTATAAAATAGTGGACGAGCTCGAAACTTGGAAGGAGCGACAAAAGGCAATGTTTAAAGCAGAGGTAAAACGATAACAGAAATTTGATTGGCAATTTCTATTTAATGAAATATAATTTATATGTGATACGAATTTTTAGCTCAAAAGAAAGGAAGAACGACATTTGAATATGCTGAGCGAGGAATGGCGAATGCAGAAGGAAAATCTGGAGTCAAAGCTCGCGTACAGCGTCGAACAATGTAAGACGTTGGCCAACAGTTTAAACAACGCTACTGACGATTTGAGAAAGCGCAGATTAAAGAGTCTGGAAAACGAGACCAGACTGATCAAAGCAAACGAGGAGTTGCAGTGGAGATATGAAACCAAGTTACAAGAGCTTAAGGATTTATTGCATGCGACGCAAAGCGATCTTACGTCAAAGGTTTGTGAAGTTCTAGTTGTATATAATATTTCGATGTTCGGCTCTGCGCCTCCTATTTGTCATGCTCTTAAAAAAAAAACTACGAAACATTGTTATTTTATACATACAACACTGTGTTTTCCGCAGGTGACTAAACTTGAGGAGAAGAAACTTGCTCTAGAGGCGCAAGTGGAAATATTATCGTACGAGAATGAGAACCTGAAATCGTCGATAAGTAAGCAGATGGACGAACTGCAAATATATCAAAAGGGATCATTAACGCAGGATCAAACAGCATCCTTATTGCAAGAGGTAAAAATTCTCGAGGAAAAATTAGACAATGCTCAAAAGGGGAAAGAATTTTTTAGAGGGCAATGGAGCAAAGCGGTTCGCGAATTGCACAGGATGAAAGTGGATTATCAACAAGCTATGGAAGTTCAAATAAAGAACAACAGGGAGGAACTGATGAGCGCGGAGTATGTTATAGCACTATTTTAATTAACTTAGTATAAGAATTCCACTTCTTGGTCAAAGCATTAAAAATTTTGGCAAAATTTGGACAAATTGACAAATTGGTTAAAAGCAAAAATATAGAATATCTTTATTTTTTGTGACATTTTTAATATAAAATTTTTTCTAATTTGGTGACACTAAGTTATCTTACAAGCTTATATTTCAGATTTTTACAGTGCAGTATGACTGTCACAATTAAAATATTCAATCTAATACTCGATTTATATATGATGTTTGATAGAAGTGGAATGTCCTGTACTTACGTTATTAATATAAAACAATTTTTATGACTGAAATTTGTATTTTTCTCGTATGCAGCCTCGCAGAAATTTTGTCCGCAGACAGAAAAGCTTTGAACAACGATCAAATGTTGCTGGGCGAGCTTCAAAAGGAAATCGATGTGATCAAGCCAAAACAATCCTTCGCACCGAAAGAAACCTACAATCAGATATTTACGACAGCCGACGACGTCTGTTACAACGTTCCCTGTAATGGTAATAAAATAAATGATGATAAATCAGAGGAATACAACGAACGGTTGCAGGCGCTGAAGGAGGAACGTGAGTCCCTTTTACGGACCGGAAATTACACGGCCGATGACGTAGTGATCAAAAAACTTAACGCAGAGATTCGGTCCTTACTGGTAAGCAGGTAGCGAATTTATTTCTTGCTTGGCTTTCTCTGATTAACATTAAATCTTCATATATGAAGAGAAAACACATGCAATCTCGGAATAAAAATCTGTGACATGTTGCAAGACAATTTTTATACATTTGTACACAAATAAACATTTTATATTGAAAATCTTTTAATTCTCGTCTACTTTCTCGAAGTATGGAAGTACTTCTAAAGGAGCATAATAGTTCTCCAACCACTTCGGTCCTTCGTGATTTGGTCCTCCTCGATTTACATCTTTCCATATTCCCTTAGGTAGATAGATATTGCGTCTGTTGACACCCTCTTGGATTACCGGAGCGACCAGTATAGATTCTCCAAGGAGATATTCTGTAATCCGATTAAGCAGCAACATTCAATAATGAATTATTTACAGATAATCTATGTGTTTTTTGGATTGATTAAGAACGGATTGAAAAGATCGGTTTACTGAATAGTTATTTAAATGTCTGACAAATCTGTTATAAATCTTGTACATTCTTACGAACTTACCGTCATTAATCTTATGAGCTTCCTTGTCGCTTGGATCAATCCACCAGATAGGTGGATTTACGGGAGTGCCGTTATCGATAGCCTGCTGCATGGCTTTTAGAATTTCGTCCTTATAGTTATCGTGCAATTCGGTATATTCTTTGCAGATAGCGACGGTCTGGTAGAACACAGATGAATGTTATTTCTTCGCAATGTTTTGATTTAAGGAAGAAACTGAATTCGTTAATCTACCATACATTAATAATAATAATAATATCTATCCATTTGTCAGATGTTTTGATTTAAAGAAGAAACTGAATTCGTTAATTTATCATGCATTAATAATAATAATCTATTCATTTGTCAGATGGGATTTTTCAGATTACTCACTTCATCATCGTAATCCCATGGCACGAAGGAATACTGTAGCGACGGCATGAAGACGTTGGCCTGCATCCATCTGATGAATATCTCTTTGGAGGGATATACCGTTCCGTTGAGTGACCCGTTCAAGTAGCCGTTGCCGCCGATCATGTCCGGTAGCACGTGGACGTACCCGTTGAGATTCATCTGTAGCAGCGTCGTGATCAGCGTAGGTAAACCGTTGTTCCACGTCCACCCGGTGTCCTTGTCGATCATGCGCACGAATATCGGTAATTCCTGGCTCCGCCATCCCACCCGCACTTCAATGGTGTCATCGAAGTTGTTTGCGAGCTCGCTGGTGTACTTCTTCGTGAATATACCTGGCTGCATCTTGAGATCACCGCTCAGCGAGGGCACCTGTGGTAACCAGGACACCTCGCCAGCATCGAACTTGAAACTATCGATACCGAGTCCCTGAAGACGTTTCAATCGCCCCACCCACCACGTTACCGCATTCGGATTCGTGAAGTCAATCGTGGAGGCGTCTGAGCCTAAAAAAGACATAATTAAACCGCAATTAAACATTGAAAATTTAAATAATTTACGAGGACGTTTACAAATGAATATCAATAGATGCTTCTTTTTTGATTTCTTTAATCGACGAAAAATGTTTAATATTGAAAAAATATAGCAATTGAATTTTGGCAGAGAAAAACTACTATTTTCAATTAGAAATATTGATTTTAAATCAAATCTTACCCTGCCACCACGACATTTGAACGTCTCCTTCGAGATTTTTGACGAAATAAGAATTGTTCAGCGCGAAAGCGTACGCGGACTCGCAATTCCGGTTGATGAACGGATGTATCCACAGGGTGACATGAAAACCCTTGGCCTTGAGTCGTTGTACGAGAGCGGGAACGTCGGGAAACTTGACGGGATCGAACTCGGCGGAGCCGTAGCAGGTCTCCCAGTTGTCGTCGATCTCAATCTGGCTGTTCGTGAAATTATTAGCAACGATCTCGTCCGCATAGGTTTCCACCACTTTCTCGCTGACGTTGGCCTTGTACCTGGCCCAGGTGGACCATATGGGATACCGGATCATCCGTTCATTGGGGTGACCTTTCGGCTTACCCAGATTATTGTTCACCGCGTGTTGATGAGCAGCTTTCGCATCCGAGAAGACACCCAATGTGTAGGTAATCTCGATGGAGTCGCGATGCTGATATGGCGCCTTGTTTTTGGCGATCATGCACAGGTACTTATCCCGATAATTGTTCTGATCGATGAACAGCGGGCTCTCCTCGTTCACGTAAATATAAATCCCATTGCCGGACAGCCAGTAACGCTCGGCTATTGCCATGTTCGCAGGGTGCGTCGGCAGATACGGCTCCTCATTAAAGTACGTATTCTGCACGGGCCAGTGTTGATTGCGAAGTTGCGGCCCGCCAAACCATTGCGTGTCGCGAGTGAGTTGGAAACAATCGATGATTTCATCGTTGGGATCATTGAGAGTACGACTGATAGTGATGATTTCCTTATCGGGATTGATTTCGAAATCCGTCTGTCCAATGTAATTTGTTAGACACACTTTGTTGTCACCGCAGTTCTCGAGCACGGAAGGACTCTGCTGTCTAGCCAATGTACTTCTCGTGAAAAAGGTATTAAGCATGGTCGTGCCGTCTGAAATAATGTTCATTCATATAGCTTCTTCATTAGAACCTAAAAGAATAGAACTGATCTTGCGACGATATTAATTAACAAGAAGAAATATTAAAAGTTTTACGAAAATAATTGAAGAAGCAACTTAGAAAAGACATGACACAAGACTGTAGAATTAATAAAAATTAATAAAAAAATTAGCAAAACAACATGGAGAATATAAAAAGTTATGTATCATATTATGACTTACCATTTTTCGTGAGGTTGAAAATCACCAAGTTAGAATTATCCGCAAAATCTATATTAACAACGCCATTTTTGGTAGCTTTCTCGAGTCCTATTCCTCTGGCAGCAGTGAGGAATAGCAATATTATCAAAGAACGCATTGCTAAAACGTACGTAGTTATATTAATATTTAAGTAATCTTTATTTTCTTAAATAATACAATAATACAATCTTAAAGAAACGTCGCAAAAGCGTTTAAGAAAAGATACTGTGCAGATATATATATATATATATATATATATATATATATATATATATATAAAGTATAGACATCGCGTCTGTATTTTCGTCTTTATTTGATTCCGATCCAAGGAAACTGTGTGCTTACCGCTCCGTTCCGACGGTTGCATTTTGCTATACCATCCCTGACTGAATGAGCGGCGCCCATTTACGTCGGCTTATATATACTCGCACGATGACAAATACTGCATTCTGCTGATATTGTTATATCAGCATAAAGAACATTAATCACCTTTGTCCTTTGTTAAATCGATAACTAAAAATCATTTATCAAATCATATAATATACCTAGTTCTACATTGTATATCACTACTAGGAATATTACATAATAGTTTGATATCCGATTTCGAATATCTCTGTAGGACTCTTCATCGTTTAGTTTTTCAGATATTGTAATTTTTATACCTGTCCATACTTTCTGATGAAACACAATACCAAATACATGTATGTTTTTTTTTGTTGTTTTCTTAGTTCTTAATTATTTTAATACATTTACACAGTCATTAACAAAAAAAACGTAATTAATCCTTTTGTTTCCAAATTATTTAATAGCTGCAGAAAAATATTTGTCTGTATTTTTGTGCATGACAAATAAACGATTCATGAAATTATTTTGACATGCCGATAACGTTTAGACTTTTCTACGCATTATTTTTACTGTGACGACGTATAATAACTTTTAGTACAAAGTTATACATATAATGGAAATTTTTCTTTTTTTACGTTCGGAAAATTTATTTAAAACACATTGTGGAAATTTTTCAAGGTTTTGTATTTATCATAATTCTTATCACCAAACTGTAATGGTAATGACATAACTGAAAAACTCTATTTTACCTCAGTTTAGCGAGAAGTTTTAAAAACGTATAAAGTTTTTACAGCCATCTATATAAAGCATTAACATGTATTCACAAACATGTGAAAATATAGACGGCAAAATAATATTTTATTTTATAATTCTAAATACGTAGCCATATAGTTATAGTGGGCCTAAAAGAATTAACAAAATATTTACGAACGAGGATTCATAATGGAAGAAACAAACTCTTGTTTAATATTTTTTCTATAATGCCACTTCTTTTATTTCAATAAAATAGACAATTTAGATGTATGTTTTCACTTTGTTTTGTTTTAATATGCATCAATTTGCAGATGCATTGCATTTGCAAATTGATGAATTCTTCTTTGTTTCGGATATAAGTTATCTTTCATGCATTATTCTATTATTATTATTATTCGCTTATTTACTTCCAATTTCCCCACTTCTAATGTCACAATTCCATGTGAAAGAAACGCGAGAGTGATGAGAATACTTTAGAAAAAATTTAATCTGAATTGAGATCGAAGAGAATAAACCAAGACACTCTGCATGTCTCAATTATGCGTTCCTATTAAGTTACGATTTAAAATAAACATAAAATATATAATCTATTATAGTTGTAAGATAAAGCTGTCATTGAAATAAGAAAAATAAATAATCATACGATTGACAACTGCAATTATATTGCTGTATTTGATATATGATAAGTATTATCCTATCAACAACATTTAATCATTATCGGATTTTTTTGATAAATGCTATCTATTTATTTATTCATGTATTATACTTATCTAAAATATGTCAAACAAATGTTAAATATGTAAACATAAAAAGAACGAATTTTTAATTGATTTTAAACATTAAAAATAATGTATTTTATTTTACTTTAATAAAAATTATTTTTTATAAATTTATATTGTGGTCCAATATTTAATAATTCACTATTTACTCGATTTTGATCTGATATTCGAAGTAAAAAATGTAGCACGTTAGGCTTTTGAAATACGCGACAATGTCACTTATATTTCACACGTGGCAAAATTCGACCTTGAATTAAAGAGAACCAATTAAAAATACATCCGTTTTGCGTGGCGTAATTATTCCGGCCATTAGATCGTGCGATTGAGCGCTCAATAATAAAGGAAGAAAAATTCGTGGAGCCTATTCAAAACTATTTTATTATATATACGTTTTTTATGTACAACGCGACCATTATTTAATTCAAAAAATGTTTTATTACGAAACTAAGGAAGTCTATTACTGATGATATTTATTTTACAACTATAATAGACGATATATTTTATGTTTATTTTTTAAATTATAACTTAGTAAGAACGCATAATTGAGACATGCAGAGTGTCTTGGTTCATTCTCTTCCTGCTGATATTATAACAGATATAAGCGAGCGTTGTATTTTCACGAGATTTAAAACATCTCAATAGTTTCTTTTTATAATAAAATATATTTATTTTCTATATTTACAGATTAACGTTTCGCAGATCTCGAGATGATTCTCGAACATTGGACGTATCTACGTAGTCGATTCTGACATCGTTAAGGATAACTTTTTGTTCAGAAAGTCAATCGTACGTACAATACCTCTCCCAAGAATATAAAAGTCCTCGATCATCGTCGAAATGTTTAAAACGAGTTTACCATCGGCGTCGAATTTTCTGCAATTGGCGTCCGACACTTTGAAATCTTTACGCTCGAGGACAGCGGGTTTCAACAGAACGCCGATCACCGTGCCACCATAAGTATCATGGAAAAACAAGGCGTAGTCCCCATAACCGTCCTGAAAACGAAAGAGAAACGCGAACATGTAGAATTACAGCGCTTCAAAGCTATTTAGACATTTAATGTTTAAATCGTGATAACGTTATGCTTTTCTTAAAACGCACAGTATGCATCAATATAATTCAATGAAATTTTTGCCATTTCTGATTAACGACTTATTAATAAGTTATCCGGGAAATACTTACTCTTAGATCTTTCAAGAAACATTGTACGGGATCGAAGTCGACGACTGGAATTTTTTGAAGGGAGTGAGTCTTATATGGATGTAAATCTACGATCTTTGCTTTGCTGGGTTTATCGACCGCTTGCAGTCGTCTAGGAATCATGTTTAACTTCAGATGTAACAAACAATCGTACTCCGAGAGCGGAGGACGGAACATAGGTTTTACGTCCAGGATTGTATTACTGAACAACGAGTCGTCGAATAATTTCAGCGATTCGCACGCGAGCACGCTTATACGGTTTAAAATCAGCTGCGACGGCGCTTTCCTCGTCCACAGGGATTTCTGCTGATCGTAAGGGGTGGATATGAATAAGGGTGGTACAGAACTGCGAGCTGTATTAAATAACGTCTCTACGGTGGCGATTTCTTCATCTGTAAAAAACGCATACGATAGTCAATTTACCTTGATGATTTAACGTCATATGATACAGTCAGTTTACCTTGATGCAATCTTTACGTAACAAGGTCGGAAGCGATAACACAGATAAGTGTCAGGTGACATTATTTCTACCCGTTATCTTTTTTTTATAATATCTGAACGGAATTCCGAGTTTAATATCAATTCATTATTTCAATCAAATGATTATCTTATTGTGGAAATTTAAGGTCGTATTAAAAAAATATATTGAGATATTGACTTACTGGTCATCTCGCCGTTGAAATTAACAATGACGGGATCGGTGTTCCAGTGAGCTCTCGCAACAACTTCCAGAAATCGTAGAAATGCCATTTGCGGCGTCTGGGCCGGCTTATACGGCTCCGGTGATAGATACAGCGATGCCATGAGCAATTCAATCACAATCCCTGGTATATGAGTATCGTCCAACAGTTGCGCCGACAACCAGCGTTTTGCCAAACAGCAAGCGGGACCGAACGACGGTTGTTGAGAATGCAATCTGAAAAAAAAGCCGAGAATTGAGAATATAATATACTGTATGTCTTTATTTATTACACATGATTCAGCTATTATACGAATTACATATTATGGAAGCATATCTCTCATTTAATCTTCAATATAAAAAATTTTGTTAAACCTTTGATCTAATCTAATCTAATTTAAAGTTTATAGAAGTATATTTGTATCAATTATCTTTACTATTAATTATGGTAACGTTACACTATAAAGTTCAAGAGATATCTGTTGACGATTAAATCCGGGACAAAAATTCGAGAGTATTATTTTCTGTGTTCAAAAGATATCTACTGACGATTAAATTCGAGATAAAAATTCACATTCCAGGGAATGTTAAATCAAAAGATATGCTTTCAACACATTCTATAAATTGTCCTAACAAGGATTACATTCGTCATTTCTTACCCATGCAAGGCACTGCTCAATTTCGGCAAATGAAACAATTTGTTCTCCAGTTCGATAGATTCTTCATTGTCCCTATATTTAATCACTCCGTCCTCCTTGACTTGTTTCATTAAAGCGATTTCCTTCTGATGCGCCACTCTTAATCGAAAAACGAATCCGTCCTAATAAAAAAAGAATTTTATATTTTGTTAAAAAAAGCCGAGCGCAATTTGAACGCAATATTATAAAATATTTACAATACAATTATTATTACATATATAAGTACTGTATTCTACTGTTAAAATAATTTATCATATTAACCTGGTATACATCTACATAAGAAGGATTGGCCTGCACTGCCGATTCATACTGCGTCCTGAGGCATTCCGCGATTTGTATGTGAAACGCCGCCTTCGTCTTCCTAATAGCCTCCAATTCCTCAGGCCATTTCCCACTACTCGACAACTGTAACGTCGCATCGAGTGCGTGAACGTACATGGGACATTTCTTGATGTTCTTTGAAAGGCTCAAGCAATTTTTGTCCTCCTCGGTGACACCGTCGGCCTTCCGATGAACGGTTGCAAGCGGCGGAAAGACTTCCGCGTATCGGAAAACCGGGCTCGAGCCTTGCACACCGTTTATCGTTAAAGGCATATCGTTCAGCGACATCAAATTTTTCTCCAAGGTGTCAAAAGCTTGCAAAACCTTCAGCGTAGCTTCTTCACCGGTCCCGTATACGAAATGCGTTATTTTGTACTAAATAAAAAAAAGTACGTAATCATGAATTATACGAAATTTAAAGTAAATAGTGGCAATTGAAAACGAAGAGTCTTTTGAAGATAATTATATTAAGAAGTAATTGTGAAGTTACCTTTTGCAACTTGAGCAAATCTTCCATTTGATCCGCGACATACAAATATTGATTCTCGAAGAGATTAAACTTTGCTTTTAGCAAGAACATTATTATCTTCTTGCATATTATCCTCTTGTCCGCGATAGTTTTGCCTTTTGACCAGACCACAGCCTCACGAATAGTCCCGTCTTTAAATCTACGTAATTCGGATTTGGAGTGCCAAAAATTTCTAAAGTCAACTGCCTGCAAAATAATAACAATATACATATAATAACAAATAATACAAAGTTCGATACTTTACATTTTGTAGCATATAATATGTATTATATATATTAATTTAAAAAAGTATTCATGTATCCTTACTTCAAGCAATAATTGTTATATCTTTACTTTATCGTGTCAAAATTATTTCAATAACTTACTTCTGGTAAATTAGCTTCAGGTCCTTTGTCCACGATGTCGAAACATGTTTCGGGATTCAATTCTAGCCCAATAACGAGTTTTCCAATACTATCTGGCATCTCCTCGGTGCATTCCCATTCCTTGCATATATCGGGTAATACGCACAATCGATTAATTCGATCTCTCAGACCTTTCTTCAGAACTGCGAAAAGTACCTTAATCGCCTGAATGCGTTTGTCAGGCCCGTAATTCAATTTGTCATCCACGCTGGATTTATCGTTCACTATTCTGTTTAAAATGAATCCATACTGAAACCTACACATATAAAAACGATAAGCTATTAAAATGCATCTGACGTTCTCGAACGCGGGAATTTACATTCATGTATATAAATTACCATAAAATGTGATCAAATGCTCTACGAAACGGCACGTTTCGCATGAAAAGCGCGTGAAAGCTGTCCACGTGTATGTTGTCCAAGTGCTTCATGCACAGCGCCGCTTCGTTCTGTACCCACGAAAACGTGTCTTTCGACAGATTCGCCGCGAAATTGTGATAGCCGGTAGTGTCAAGAAACACACAATCGTAGTAATTGTGGTAATGGGAGACTTGTTTCTGATTATCCTTGTCCTCGCACATGGTAATTCCATTCTCGCACCAATTTCCCTGCGCTATTTCAAATAAATACAATTACCATCTCGGACAACGCAAAAGAATAACGCAATTTAATTAGCAATCCTTCTCGAAGTACCTAAGCAAATCCAGACATTCCGTAGAATCTGATAACTGCTCATGAAAGTGTTGAGCTTTTTCTGGCGCAGTAAATAGATGACGAACATAGTGACGAGATGGTTGGTGAAGCCGTCGTGTCCCTTGTTCAACTCACGCTGGCGCAGCCATATCTTCAGCAAGATTATACCGTCCCTCAAATTCGGATACTCCTTTATTACTTGCGCGACTTCGGAATTCGTCCGCGACATCACCAAGTCGCGCAACACCAGAGAGTTGTAGTGCGGGGTGGGCGGTAAAGATGCTGCAGGCAAAAGGCAACATACATATGAAATAATATAAAAAAATATCATTTCACAGTATAAAATCGTACAATATATTTTTATGGATCTAGAATGAAATTCACGTAAAATATAAATTCATGTAAATATCATCCATGAATATCGTCATACAAACTTACCGCCTTCTAAGGTGGAACTGCTCTCTTTCTTGTTAAAATACCATCCTGGCCTAACGCTATTCTTCTCCGGCAGAAATCTATTCAGCTTAAAGCTAGTCTCCTGCGCGGACACGTGTATCACCACGTCCATCTTTTTGTTCAACCTTCCGCTGGGCCGAAGCTTCAGGCAAGGCCTTAGATTGTCGCCGATAAATCTCTTGCTCTCGACAATATCGCTTCCTAGAGTCGACGCTACGAACGCGAGGTACGTCGATCTCTTTCTAAAGTACACATAGTTCTGATAATCCTGCTTCCGGAATAAAGCAGCCGGCATCTCCACCATCACGTCCACGGTAAAGGCGGTGCCGAGAATGCATCCCGAATCGTAGGATCCAACCACGCTAACGTTGGATGGCTTCAGGAACTTGAAAACGCTCTTGGTTTCTTTTGGTACATCCGGCACGGGAATACAAACGTCTAATTTATCATCCAAATTATTATCCGTAAGCTGAAATATGTCAAAAGATTAGACATTAATTTTTTTTTTCCTCGTATCTCGCAATTCAGTTGTATTACTAACCGAAATCTCTTCAGTCTCTTCGATAGACTCAATTGCTGCCTTCAACTTCCCGAACCAAATTTCAAATAGCGCTTTATATTTATCTTTGAGCCTCACTTCGTTGAGAACCTCTTCGATCTGAAGTCGGAACAAATTCGAGTGGAATAAATTCTCAGTCTCCCTAAGCTGACTGAGCTCTTCGACCGTTGGCTGCTTGTAAAGACTGTTTTCGAACTTTTTCTTTTTCTTAGGTGCTGCCCCAGCTAACTCGTCCGTGACTTTCTTCCTCTTCTTCTCCGCAACGAGAGATTCAGTCTCACGATCGTCCAATTCTATCTCTTCCTCCTCGTCATTTGCATCCTCTACCGAGTCCACATCGTCAGATTCGGGATCTTCGTCGTCGTTTGTGTCTTCCATCAGATCTGCATCATCAGGTTCCGAGTTTGCTGAATCCTCCTCGTCAATTTCCGAATTCATTGTATTGTCGTTATCTGATTCAGAATTCATCGAATCTTCATTTTCAACAGTAGAGTCAGCCTTGCTATTCACTTTGCTCAACTGAAATTATTTCAAATTATCAGTCTTGTTTTTTTTTCTACGCAAGTATATACATATTAAGTAAAGACTATATTTCTAAGTTAAAATATATATACATAAATACATGGACATTTAAATTAATATAAGTATTAATATGAGTATTGATTTCAAATAACAATTATTCCATAAACCATCATTCAAAATAATTTAAATTCTAAGCATTACATATCAAGAAGTAACGTATCTGAATTAAAATATATAAAAATATATATTTAATATTTAAATTTAAATACGGCAGAGAAATATTTTTAATTGATATTATTAATATTATTATACAGAAATGTAGAAAAACTTCGTTGAGGTTAAGAATGCTTCGTGAGAAGCTCGACTTGATACCTCGTCGAGTAAATAAAATGCAGTGAATAAAATATGATATACCTTGGAAGATCTCTTCATTTTTCTTCTACTTGTACGTAATTCAAACGCGGTGTTAAATTTTTATTCGAGCTTCACGTGCAAAACACGCCGGCTATAACCACAAACGCCGCATGCTCGCCATGCTTTCCAATATTTTTCAGACCTCCACGACCCACGTGACCAAACACGTCGCGACATCTGTTGTCCATTTTTCTTCCTAAAGTAAAGCTTCCCAAAGTTTCTTCGTTGGTATACAGTCAAATGACGCGGAGAAAAGTTTTTTTCAAATCGCATAAGTCGACAAAAAAATAAACAAATAAATATCGCATATCGCGTATAACGTATCTCAGAGATTGACAGAAACGTATGTAAGGTATCTCTTCAAAAGGGAGCGAAAAGAAGCGCTGGCAATAATCAACGCGAAACGCGTTTCAATAATTAGAACGCACTGTACCGCGAAGTAATTGCAATGCTGCAGATTCTCAAAGCGTTCTATCCCGCTTTTCCGGTAAAAGTCGTTGCGTAACGGTTCCGAACGGTTTCCGAAGCGCTCTCACTTTTTCCATTTCGTCATTCCGACGCCTCTCGTATATTTCGTAGAGAAGGATAAGGAAACGAAATCTTGGAGAATATTCGTCGGTTATCGGCGGATGCCGATCTGCTGCTGCTGCTGCTGCTGCTGCTGGCACCCCTCCCCGTGCGCGGTCCGCGGTCTGGTGTCGTCGACGGTGCGGTGTCAATGACAGCTGGACGCGATTATGGACGCGATGATGACGGCAGTCAATGGCGTACGCGCGCGGTAGGTAGACGCACCTGCAGCGTGTCGATGTGTCAGCGTCGGAGTGTCGCCGCTTAGATTAGATCGCCGTGTTCGCGGGTGCCGCCGCGCGGATCCGCGCGATGCGCCGCTGATCGTAGGAGTGGTCGTCCCGGGTGGCGGTGAGTCGAGTCGAGTCGAGCGAGCCGCGCCGAGCGCGGGTGGCCGCCCGCGTACCGCAGGGGAACCGTATGTGTGTTTATCATTTTCGTCCGCGGATGTTTACGGCTGGCATGTTAAATGGCAATGAACATGGAAGTGGCGGAGGCGTCCGGGCTGACGTCCGACGCCCGTCCCTCGGCGGCGACGGACGCGCGCGCCGACGCTAACTCGACGGGGGCTACCCACGAGGGATCCGCCGCGAGTAGTGCGACGCCGTTGCCGCGCGCCGACGACGACGACGCGACGGGCGAGCAGGGGCCCGTCGTCGACGCGCGACCGACGACGAGCGCCGGTGACGAGGGAGCGACAGCGGGGGAGAGGCCGTCGCGCGCGAACGACGCCGACGACGACGACGGCCCGGCGCGCGTACCGCAGTCCCCGTTGGCCTTCACCATCGATTTCGGCGGTAGCAAGGAGGTGGACACGGCGAGGTTTCAGAACCTGTTCGAAAGGTACAACGCCAGGCACCGGCGAAACCTCTCCACGTCCAAGGTACTTGAGATTCTGTATTGTTTTTTAAATAATGTGTATCACATGTGAAGACATTTAAACGCGTACTGCATTGTATGCAAGCAGTCAGCCAAGAGATTCGAAGGATTATAATACAGATTGGCGCATCGACTGCGTCCAAATTAAGTTTGTATTTCATCACCAAAGTCTATTGATATAATCTGATAGCAGATTACCAGCAGAAACGTCAGAAACCAAGCAGAATTACTTGTGACATTTAAATGGGACATACGATTCAAATCTTTACGCAAAGGCTGATTCTGCTTGATTTCTACAATATTCTGCTAGCAAATTCTATTATCTTTCTATTGGCATTCTGCCGGCAAACAAATTTGTAGCAGACAGCTTTAGACAAAATCTGTCTTCGATAAATTTAACTGTCTGGCAAACTTGAAACTTGCAAGTGTCTTTTTGTAATAAAGTAAAATTTCTTTTTATTGAATGACAAATTGTCATTTAATATAATCTTGGTATAAGAATATATTAAATTATTATAGTAGTTTTATATAAAATATATTGTATCATAAATTGTATATATTTGTTTTTAGGTAGAAGTAAAATCAAAGAAATCGAGCACTATATTGTCTCCAAACTTGGTGCAGAAGCAGAAAGTTCCTAGCACTCATTCGGAGGGTTACTTTAGTAGCGAGGATGATTCAAAGCGGAAAACTGACCAATTATCAGAAAGACTTAAACAATTAGGTAAATGTTCATTACACTTTTGTTCTTTTCCTTTTTTTTCTTTCTAAAGAACAATTCCGTTTAATAATTATAATTAATATATTTTAAATTTTAAAAGACAATATTTTATAATTATTTTATTACATTAATTTTTATAAATAACGTATGAAAAGGAACTTACACTAATAATATTTAAAGTTAAATGTTAGTAGTGCTTGTAAAATTTATTATTAAATCTTTAAACTGAGAGAATTCTGATAAAGTCTGATAGATCCTTTAATGTGAATCCTGTATTGAATGCCTGTGATGTATGACTCATGGTGAAGTCATCTTCAAGCTTCTTAATATTCCTTACAAGTGCCTTCTACCTATTCTGAATGATATAGCCTGCTGACATATTAATGACTTTGATGTCATAACCGTTCCCATGTTAGGAATTATGTGTGATTTTCCTCCAGAAATTACGAATAATATTGATTATTCTGTCATCATTTTTGTGATGCCTTTGCTTTTTAAATTTTAATATTTTAGAAGATATATATGTCTGTTTTCCGAATCACTCTACAAATATTAGAAATTAAATTAAGAAGAATTGCATATATTGTATTCTATTTGTTAAACTGTATTTATTTTTATAAATAAATTTTATTACTTTTCTTACATCTTATTCTAATCAAGGTTCGAATTGTGTATGTTCTTTAGGTGTCAAAAATTCTTCGAGAGCACATTCTAGCACAAAGAAGTCTACGAACGAACAAGTGGATCCCTCTCATCAGAATAAGCAGTATTTAATGACAAGGTCCTGTGACGACGAATTACGTCACAGCAAACTGTCGTCGCAAGGCCTGTCGTTGGAGCTTGAAACCAACGAAAACGTGTATTGGCCATCCCAGAGGTCCGTAACGATAAACGACTTGAGTCGCATTCAGATCAGCAATTACGACGACGACGAAACTGAGAAGCGATACACGAAGAACATCGAGTACATCGACGTTAATCACGAGTGCAAGGAGGTGAACAGTGTGGAGGACAACAAGGTGTCCAATATGAACTATCTCACCGACGATTTCAATATAAAGAACGCGAGTGAGAGCGAGAACAATTTGTCGAGCGATCAGCGAGAGCAGTTTGTCAGTTACGCGATGGATCTGAACGCGGACGATATCGCGGACACCAATCTGGACGCGTTCAACGTGAGCAACGTCGACGCCAGTTCCGACGGCGCGGTGAGCGAGGCCGGGACGTACACGATTCACAAGGACTACACCGACGAGGAGAAAGCGAGGATGGACATCGACAAGGTTTTCAGCGTCGGTGTGCTGACTGAAGACGAAAGCAACGAGGCATACGTTCATAATTTCAAGGTAGATAACATCAGCAACGAGGTATTCGCATACGTAATGCGCGCGAGATACGTTCACGATATACGATCTCACATTTTTTACAGATGAGCATTTCACGCGATAATAACGCATGGATATCGGAATGGGCCACTCAAGTAGCGGAGCACAACTCTCTGCCTCCGATAATAGGCGGCTCGACGGGTCGTACGCCGCCCCTGAGTCCCACCAAGATACCGTCTCCGATTCATACTAGATCTCAACGAGTGTCACGCAATCGCTATGTATGTATCGCACATTTTATATATGTAAAAAAATATGATATCTGTAGAATAGCTATATAGAAAATACTATTTTTAAATATCTTTAAAAAGTGAGAAACATCTATTAAATATACCTCTTGAGAGAATCTATGTAAAATGTTTAAACGAGTTTGTATTATACTTGCTTGCTTGTTTTGCCACATTATTTTTAGACTATCGACCGCTATCGGTCCTAACAACAAAATATTTTATAGAACAGCAAATTTTTTATGTTTTATGTTATATATATATATATATATATATATATATATATATATATAGTTTCTCTTGAGAATTATAAAAATCTGAAGACATCCTCGTTATCTTAATGTTTGTTTTTCAATTGTCTTGTGACCCTTTTTTTCTAAATATTTTTATCTTTTGCGCGCAGGAACAGTCACCTGACAGCAATCTGGACACGGACTCGTATGTACGAATAAAGGAAAGGCTCGGCTTAGTTTCAAGTCAGCATCAAATTATAGACTCCGGTGGAGAATCCGATGATGACACCAGCAACAGTTACAACACGCCGCCTAACAGCTCACAACGTACACCTGTACATAACACCGTAGTTAGACGCGGCAGCTTGTCCGAGTCGTTGTTTCGACGAGCGAACAACAACGAAAATAGGCGAAGCGTTCGAAAATACTTAAGTTCGGCCAAATCGAAGACTGCTGATACTAATGTAGAATTACTGAAGAGCCCGTCCCAGGTCTTGTCGCCTCCCCATTTTGAGAGAAGAAGTAGCTCTCTAGATAGGTGAATAATTTGTTTCACATTACATTTTGACGAATTCATTTATTAGCAACAATAATAACCAGCGTATTTCGCATTAATTATATATACAAGTTTTTGCAAATGTAGAATTTTGTAGCTGCATATGGATTATTATCGAATTTTTTTGTACTTTGAGAAAACCTCATTTTTTTTCTTCAATTCTTCTACAGGAAAGAATATGCTTCTGATACAGCGGAATCTAATACGTCCAGAAAAAATAGTGCGAAGTATAAGGAAGATTTGAAACATACGAACAGTCCAATTTTAAGCCGTCTCAGACCACCTACGCCAAAATTGACTAACAGCCCAATTGTTAGCCGTAAGGCTGCTGCAACGAAGATACTCAATTCTCCCTTGTTAGAAAGACCTAAGCATTTAGCGAAACCGTCACAAGCGAAAAATATAGGATATTTTACGTGTGTCGAAAATAGGTACATATTTTTCATAAAATATAAAATTAAATTAAATATATAAAATTATATATTTTAAATTATATATATATAATTTTGAAACGTCACAATTAATCTCAAAGCGATTAATGTATCTCATTTGTGTCATTTTTTTTTACAGTCCATATATGCTGAGAAAGTCCAACAGCACTACGAACTATCACGAAGGAACTAGTTATTTTGATAAGGACATGCCTATTAAAGCGCCTAGTATGCTACGAAACAGTCCGGAGCTTCAACGGCTGAATATACAAAGATCGTCGAGTAACGCGAGCATCAGGAACATGAAGTCGCAGAATCTCGTGTCGCGTCGCAGCAGTTTCAACAGCAGCGACATCGACAGAATATCGAGAGGAAAATATGCCTCTATCGCGTCCGACAGTAGCAGCGAGGCTGGTGAACAACAAAGGAAATCTCCTCTGACGCCAATCTCATCTGGAATCAAGTTGAATAGGGCTTTCAGCATAAGGAGAGCGAGGTATCTTATGCGGAAACTAAACGAAATGCTATCGGAAAATACAAAGAATTTCAAGTATATTCTGCTTTGGTTTTTATAGAAAATTGAGCTGGATGTATTATTTACAGATTAAACTGCGAGTCCGATACAACGCCGAATACAACCCCCGAAGAGAGACGCAGGAGAGCGCAGTCCGAAGTTAAGACTGTAGCGCCTATGAACAAGCAGCAAAGCTATCATCGAATTCGCACAAACAGTGTCGGAGCGCATAGCAAGGATTCGTCGAAGAAACCCGAGACAACGAAATTCAGAGTACCGTCTATATCCAGGACCGATACTGGGAGATTCAGTATGAGAGCGCCAAAGCCGACTCATGTAAGCGTCTGTGTTATTATTATTATTATTTACTTATAGGAATTATTTTGTCTGTAGGATGTTTTAAATACAATTTTTCTTGTTCTTTCTTTTCTTAAGCATCCTCCCGGTCAGAAAGCGAATCAGAAGCCAAGTAAAGATCACAAAAAGTCCGGCAGAAGTAACTCCAGTCTTACGTCGAAGGAGGTGGAGTTTCAGAATTGGAAGCGGCGGAAAAGTTACGATCCGATGAAGGCAGCGGCCGAAGGGAGAAAGAAATTAATAGACAGTACAAAGAAACATCACAGTATCGAGGACGGTTCCGACAAGTGAGTTTTTGGCGGAAAAATATACGAAATGTTTGCGCGAGTAATAAGCGTAGTCAGTTTTTCGAAAGGAGCGATTTGTATTCCAGCCATGACAGTTCCGTGCTGAGATCCGCGAGTTTTCACGGTACAGGGGGTGCCCTCTCGTTAGCCAACGATTGGTCGGATAATGAATTAAATTACTGTTACGAGGACAACCAAGTACCACCGCCTAGTAGTCCACAGCTGGTACGTGCGTGTGTGGATTGTATATCAATTTATTAAAGTTGCTTATTGACAAATTTGATTGCTGATTTTCAATAAGCTACAATCGTATATCAAATTTATTGACAAATTTGATTGCTGATTTCAATAAGCTACAATCGTATATCAAATGCTTTCTGAAATTGTAATGACTGTAATTGATTAGGAGAGCGACAGTGATCTGGAAACTTCGTCTTATCTGCAAACAACTCAGAACGTCGTGTCCGCAATGTCCGCTCGCATGACGGGATATCGTCCACCACTCGTTTCCGATAACGAGAGCGACGAGGACACGAGTCATAGCCTGCGTCCGAATATATCGAAAGAATTACGCCATCCGAGCGATACGGAGAGCAGCGACGAACAGCATCCACACTCTCCTACCTCCAGCACTAAATACAACAAAGAATTTAGGTATGTACTTTTTTCTTTTTTTTTTTTACATTTTGATGATATCTTCGTGCATTCAACCATATTTCTTCTCTCTAGTTTGCGTAAAGCAAAATTGGATCTACAACGAACAAAACCTGTGTCTTCCAGCGCGAGCAAAGCTAAAAATTTGTCGCACGATGCACATAGCAAGTCTGAGTCGCTTTCCAGTATCAACAGAACGGATTCTGGACGACCTAGTATGCGAGCTAACAGAGGCCTGAGCTTGGTAGGTGTAATATTTTTTAAATAAAATTTTTAGTAAAATTTAATAACATAAATATATGAATGCATGTATATAGCCTAAAAGTAAGCCGAAAGAACAAAAGAAGCCATCGATGCCAAATGTACGGGAAGTCGAGATGCAAAATTGGAAACGTCGCAAGAGCTACGATCCCATGAAAGCCGCTATGGAAGGACGGAGAAAAGCCAACCTGGCGAAGAAAAATGCAGCTCTGTCACCGAGGTAAGTCGAAAGTTGATTCAGCCTTTCGTAAAAGAACTGACACGAGGAACTTTTTCCAGATAACGCGAAAGTCCAGAAGTTCACTCTTGGTCTTTCGCATTGTCTAGGATACATTACTATTAATTGAGGAAATAATCATTTTACTTGTTATATTTTGTTGTTAGGACCGATAGCGATCGATAGTCTAAAAATAATGTGGCTAAACAAGCAAGCGGTATAGTACAAACTCGTTTAAACATTTTATCTAGATTCTCAAGAGGTTTAATAGATGTTTCTCACTTTTTAAAGATATAAAACACTTGTACTGACACGAATGCTTGTTCTTTTTGCATTGCACTAACTCAGAGTTAATGAAAAAATAATTATATTATTGTTCTTAAAATCTTAATTTCTACCAGATTAAGATTTTAAGAACAATAGAAGATACTGTACTTATATTTAGCGTTAGTTTATCTACTTTAGTGATGTGTTGCTTTTGCACTTTTGTGTCTATTACCCGGCTCAATCTCATTTAGTGCGCTCCAGCAATCAAGGAACCATTAAACTTATTTCTACGGAAAGAATATAGTGCGCCGTAATTAAATACATAGAAATCTAATCATTTTATTTGTTCAATATTGAGATTGCGTTTGATTTTAATCAGATAGTCACTTTTAGCGATAATGTGCGATGTAAATATGCGTAAAGCTGTCTTTTTTCTCTTGATAAAAAAGGGTGTAAAAAATGGAAGAGATTTATTTCTTCACTTGCTCATAATTCAACTGTTCTAATTTTACTTCTATCTTATTTTAGTCACGTAGCGAGATCGCAGAGTTTTCATGGATCAGTAGGGTTAGCAATCAGCGATTGGAGCGACGAGGAACCGGTCATATCCGCAGACGAAGGCCCACTTTACTAGGGTTGTCTTAGAGCTAGTGGGTGGAACACGAAAACGAGCACATGCGTAAGATAAAGCCAATTACAAAAAGTTCTTATATATATACATAAATATATATAAATTGCAAGAGTAAGCGAATTTTACAGGATGTTATAGGAATTAAGCACTCCTATGTCTAAATATAAATCTATTGAAAAAGAACGTAGTGAGCCAAATAACTGGGAGAAGTCTTTTCTATATTATAAATTTGTGGGTTATATCGACTGCCCATTTTTCTAAATCCTGAGTTACGAAAATGCGCTTCCTAAAGGTGATATTTAAAAATTTAATGCCGAAATTAACGATATTAGTATTGAAACGTCCAATTGTTTGTGATTAATTTCTACGAAATGTCCCTCTTTTCTCAAATTATTTCGTGCTTTTTATTACGTGCGTAAAGTGAAAAATATTGCCTAAATATGGAGTATGTTTCACGTGTACAATAATATTTGAAAGGGAAAGAATATTAAGAAAGGATGTCTCGAGATGTCTCAATTGTCAAGCGAGAATATATTCAGTTTATAATAGGGAGTGCTAAATATACATATATACATAGAAAGAGAGAGAAATATATGTGTGTCATTGGTTTAATTATGATTGGACCAATCGTGTAGCGTTTATGTACAAATGTTTTTATCTATGTTAAACGTATTTTTTTCACATTGGTGCAGGCGATTCGTCTAATTATGAAATATTTTCTTGCATAATAATAACTTACGAATAATATAATTATTTTTCATTAAAAACGGAAAGAGCAAACGCGCGAGAAAGCTTTGCGTCTTGATCTTTCTTTGCGTCTTGATCTTTCACGATTGCGAGAGAATACAAACTCACGTCGGTACTCGCGATTTCTTTCTGCTCATACAAATTATTGACTCAGAAAGAACGATGTGCTATATGCTCTCTTCCAAAGCGCGCAATGAATTGTAAAGATTTTTCCTCTACGATAATTTAATGTGATCATGAAGGGCTTTACAACGATCTTAATTATTAAGGTGTATATATCACTGTCGATCAATTTAATTTTGTACATTCTTTCTCTCAATTTTACGTAAGAACTAATCGATATTCGGTTCTCAATTTGGTTCGAGGAGATTGTCTCTGTAACATACTCGACCAGATAATATTAAATGACACTGACATAAGACATATTTTATACAGAGGTACTTGTTCAAAGGAATGTATCACTTGTTCATCATATGCTTGTTGTTCCAATATAAATTCGATGAAAATTTTATCTAAATTTCCTAGCGAATTTCGTGAAATCTCTACAAGTTCGTTGTGCATATCGCAAGCATTATGATAAAGAGTTATATTAACGCTGCCTTTATTGCATAATTCTCGGCAGATCGTACCATCATACTAAAGCAATTTTTCTCGCTTTAATGTTCGTATCTCGGCGTTAAAGAAATGAAAATTTAAATTGAGAAATTTATATTTTCTTACTGATACAACTTACAATTCGTTGAGTTACATTTCTCAACAAATTATTGTAACAAGTGGAATTATGCGATAAAGGTCGCAAAAGAATGTGATATTATGACAGGATTAGAAAGTTACTGAGTTAAATATGGTAGTAATACGAATTTTTTTGTTAAAAATTAATAGATGAATGTTTAATAATTTTCCTAATTATGTTTCAATTATATATGTTCGGTTCTAAAAATGTTTAATTCTATAGCATTATGCAAAATTTGTTAATAATATTGCGAAGATAATTATAGGAATATGCTGTGCGTTAAAATTCATATTTGTTTTTTTATTATTCGAGCAATTATATTTATAAAAAAATATTTATTATAATGTTTTTTCAAGATACATCCCGATATTTATAGAATTGACATTTGAAAGAATTTATCATATTTTATACAATAACATGCCGCGTATTCGAAATTTTTTTTTACAAATCTATGCGTATAATTAAAATATCTCTTGCGAGCGTACAAACTTTTCATAATGTTTTTGAACACGTTTCTTCGCATTCTTTGAAAAGAGATGGGCTTCCAATGTGCACACAAACACGTACCAATATATTTTCGAGATAGATACATGGAGTGGATACACATATTGCGTACGTCATTTTAATTTTGTAACTGGAAATATGAGGATCATCAAGGTAAAGGAAATCATGTTTCTCAATTTTAATTGTGATTTTATTTTTCTCGGAAAATGTAATCTCAAGCAACAAAGAGAAATTTCGATTATTTCTAGAGATACTTGTCGCCCGGATGTCCTCAAATTTCTAGATAGATTTAGCGCGAGCGACGATACGTAGAGCATCTTATTTTGCCAATTTTCTAAATATCCGATTATTAACGGATTTTAGTTTTCTTTTCATTAATGATACCCTACATCAAAATGTCGTCTTGTTAATATGATCTGAATTGTTTGTCTCTAAGCGCTATGTACACATGATTGCTGTTATTCACATAATAGGGTGTAAAATATATGTATGTGTTTCTCATCTTGTTTTGTCACACAGAAAGAAGCACGTGTAATAGCAATGCGATATATATTTTTGTATATTCAGAGCCTACAGAGCTGTCAAGCGCGTTAAGTTCCAATTCTACTGTTAATTAACTTTTATTATAAAGTATATATGTACACAATTCTTTGGCAGAGAAATGTTATACATGATAGTGAAATATAGCATCCGTATCGTAAATAAGAGTGTGTCAATCGATCGTATGTATCGTAATAATATATAAGTGTAAATTGCAAAGCAGCCGTTTGTTTCTTTATTTGGGGAAAAATTTGTGTTTCTACGCATAAATCATGTCATGTCGTCGAATGATCAAATCGATCTATTGGAAAGTGAAAAAAAAATTTATTTTGACATTTTATTTCAATCCGTTTTACCTTTTTTTCTGTGTATAAGTGTGAAGCGTTTAAAATTTTACATACAACGATCATTTGTAAAACACCAGATTGCAATAACAGTTATCTCGATTTTTTTAGATCGTACATAGCTCATCGTGTTAAATGAAAGAAAGAGAATAAAGTTGGAATTTTTGGTCTTGGAGTACGAAAAATAAACGTCTTCACTCTTGAAAAATGCTTTTTCTGCATACGTTTTTATTTCGGCGACTGCACATACGTAAAATTTTAATTATATATGTTACTATACAGAATTTTTTAATATTTGATATTTTAATAAATAAATTATAGTTTTATATTAATTTAGTTAATAGTAAGTAGGTATAATAATATAATTTTGTAACTAAGAAATTTGATTAATAGAACAAAAAACACACAGTTACGTGTGTGACAAGTGTCGAGTTTCTCTTCAGAGGTCTCTAGCGTTGCCTGCAATCGCGATACACACCTGATCAACTGATCACATGATCGCGCATGATGCTGGAGTGAAAAATGTGATTGCCGGGTTTGTTGACATCGCTATTTCATTTTAGAGAGTAATGCTTCGCATCTCCTTTAAATTAATCATATATACGTGACTCGTAACTTGTGCAAATAAATGTATACAACATAAAAGAATTTTCCATAAAATATTGAAAATCTGTCAGAGTTGGGAGGTTATTTCACTTTGCAGTATACGTTCGTATATTTTCTTTTATCTATCTACAAATTACTGTGAGTGACTGTATGTTTTTTTAACTCGCGCGTACGTCAAATTAATCATCTAAACGTGTATATATACGTGACTCGTAATTTGTGTAAATAAATGTATAAAATATAAAAGAATTTTCCTTAAAATACTGAAAATACCTTAACAGTTGGGAGGTTATTTCACTTTGCAGTATTCGCTTGTATATTTTCTTTTTATTTATCTACAAATTACCGTGAGTGACGGCATGTTTTTTTTAACTCGCGCGTACTTTTGCAGGTTTTATCTTATCGTACATTAATTAAAAATCATGGACGCTATCATCGACACGATCGTAGCGCAGGCCACGGATCCGAAAGTGGCGTACATGGCCGCGGTCCTCTTCGGTTATTGTTTATATAAACTCATAACCATGACCATGAATAGAAAGAATCCTCGTTCCCGTGCGGAGGTCGACTCCGACGAAACGGATGACGATGACGTGGTAAGGAAAACAATACGACTTGTCTTCGAATTTCTCTCTGATGATCCATTAAACAGTCAATTACAATTGTTTCCTCTTTACGCAGACGTGCACAGACAAGTATGACGAGGACAGATACAAGTTGATCCTGGTAATTAGAACAGATTTGAAAATGGGAAAGGGGAAGGTGGCAGCCCAGTGCTCGCACGCCGCCGTCGCGGCGTACAAGGCCGCCAGGAAGTATCCAAAGATTCTGAGAGCGTGGGAGGAGTCTGGCCAGGCTAAAATCACTCTCAAGGTATTGTATCTCGAATGATACTAAACAGTATAGACACTGCTAATTGATAAAGAGGAAATATATATTCTTATTAAATGTATAATTCACAATTCCATTCGTATCGGTCCAATAAATATATTTAATAAAATATTTCTTATGACACGAACCAGAGTTGTGAGGTTTCGATCGAAAGAGGCCGTCGCTTGACGTTTAAAAAATATATTTAACTATACACAGTTAAAATAAATATCTTTCGCACACACGCACGTATGAGGGGAAAAAAAGAGGATACGTTGATAATAAATAATTAATTTCCAGGTGGACAGCGAGGCTGCTCTTACGGAGATAGCGAAGGAAGCGAAAGCTGCGGGTCTCTTGTCGAACGTCGTACATGACGCGGGGCATACGCAAATACCAGCGGGAAGTAAGACGGTATGCGCGGTCGGGCCGGGCCCAGAGGAGTTGATAGATCAAGTAACCGGGCATTTAAAGTTATTTTAAATCGTTTATCGAATAAAGAGATCGAGTCTTTTGATATATCCTTGATTTTATTTTTAATATCCCCCAAATCTTGCTTGCTATTTAAATTATCAGTCTGTTGGCAAAATTTATTTCAGTTACTACACGCAGAGACATTTGTAACATAGTAAAAGTTGATGTTAATACCTTTTAGAATTTTTACCGTTTTCAATATTCACGTATGTATATTATCGATAAGACTAACATTACATGATTTTTATTGTCTTTTTTTTATCGCTTTGCCAAGAATTTTCAGATTAACAATTTAGTAAAATACACGAGTAACACAATTTTCCTTCGTGACAAGCTTTAACAGATGAATTCATCTAACACATTTCTCTTAAATATAATACGTATTTTTGTATATGTGTGCATGTGTGTGTGTTTTGCGAAGTATAAACGTAGTATAGAATGTCAATCTGATTTGAGAACCGCGTTCTCTACTTAGAACGCGTGATTTGTAAGAAACATGATAGTCGAAGTAATAGAGCTCGGATGTGCAGCTGATATTATTTGTTGTATTACATCTAGACAGATAAAATCATAATTGAGAGCGAAATATGTAGATAAGTTGATTCTTTCAGTTCATTAAACATCCGAACTCTACGAACTGACTACTTGAGCATATTAGCGCTTATTAGCGAGATTACTTCGTCCTTGTACGTTATATATAGATCTCGTTGCATCTCGCGAGCTCTCCGCGGCATATGAAAAAAAATGGACATGTATGCAAATATGTGCATTTAGAAGAGTATTAAAGCATTTATGGTTCCTAGAGTGTATATACTTTCAGGGTTTCATCTTGAATACCAAGAAATATATTGGCAAGTGAATACGCGCCCTTCGCCGTCGATCGTTTACTGCCGATCCTGCCGTGACTGCAAAAGGCGACGACCCACGTACTCCCGATGTGTCTCCCATTCTTTGGTACCCAGTACTATACTCCGCTTTAACTTATAAATATAAATAATCTATATCGGTGGCGCGGGTGCTTTCCGAGGTATTTTATTCGAACTGGCGGCGCTGCACTGCGACTCCGCGATGGATCTACCGTCGGCCTCGTCCCTCCGGCAGAGCTCCGGCTCGTTCTGCATCCAATTCTGCGTCTGACCGTGGCCCCCCACCGTCGTCTTCGCCGTCTGCGACTCCTCGTTCTCGGACACGGCGCTCACCTCCTCCAGCAGCTTCGACAGGGACGGCGCGAGACCCAGCCCCAGATTGCGCTCGTGGTACACCTCCGAGATCGTGGGCGTGAGCTCGCGCGTCAGGCTTGTCAGGGAAGTAGCCAGGTTCCTCAGGTTTTGCGGATGCGTCTCCGTGGGCTGCGTCACGTCGGTCTGCGCGCCGCAGATGTCCTCGTTCGCCGTCGCGGAATGCCGCGACTTCCTCGACGAACTCGTGTCGATCTCCGTCCTCACGCTCAACCTCTCCAGCACGTTGGCCGGCAACGGCGGCAACGGCTGCCGTCTCAACACGGTGGCGTGGCCGTTGTCCCAATCTGTCACCGAGCTACTCGAGCTCGAGCCGGGCCTCACCAGATTCTGATCGGGATAGAGATTCCGGATACGGGCCTGATGGTTCAAGTTAAGCGCCACAGGAGGACTAGGTGTAAATGCCACGTCTGATTCACCTGGAGCATCCGAACATTATTACGTTATTAATATTTTGTTATGTCTTATTGATATTTTAAATTTCTGCGTAAGATATATCTTATGAAATTTCTGTAAGATATATTTGATCCCTATGTAAAATTTTCGCCGATTGTGTGGCTCGTGATGATTCGTCTTTTAATATTTGACAAAAGACAGAAAGTCAACTCGAGTGCTCTGTTTTGTATAATTTTAAAATATTTATATATATTATATATACCTCCACCATTTTGACATGGTTGTCGTGCCGGTATCAAGACGTTCGGTGGTTCCATGGTTTTCCCGTCTGGTTCGCCACGATGTCGTACGTAACTTGCGAAAGCTCCTCCCAATCGTGGCCGTTCTACCAGGCCGTTTTTCTCGGTATGGGCAACGGAAGCTAAACTCTCCATTGAACTGCCCGAATCCAAGCTGAGACTTTTAGGTGCTTCCTGCGTGTCTGCAATTGATAATACACACATTACACAAATGAATACAATTAATCTACATTTATTAATATTATCATGTATCAATACGAATTTCAATTTACCGAATAATGCGAGAAGAGCTTGAAGAGCAAACTGAACGGCTCTACGTGAGGCTTGCTTGCCTGTTCTCAGTATCACTTCCGATTGCCCGACTTCCATCAAGTCGAAGCCTAAGCTAGCGAACAGCTCGTGTGATCCTGACGCTCTCCAAACGTGTACGGGCAATATAACTTCTTGTCCTTCCGTGGCGCAGCTGGCTCTTCTCATGGCAGCGATTACGTCTTCCGCAGCTTCTGGCGCCTGAGAAATATTTTTAAAATAATTAATTAGAATCGAAATCCCGTACGAATTTGGTTAAACGTTAATTGAAGTGAGTCAGTACTTGTAAGAGCCTAGCCAAAGCGTGCAACGACGATTGACCTAATCCTAGTAGAGCTTGCAAGCTGGCGCTGCATCTCGTCAGTCTTTCCTCGGGATCGCTTTGCGGGAAGAACACGGAGGACGGTATGCCGTTGCCGGCCGGCTCGAATCTGAATCCCACGGACATGAGGAGCTCTCGCCAACCGGTGGCCGCGCCCACCTTGTTCTCGATACTACGCTGAGTCGTGTACATCGCGTTCTTCTGCCCACGATGAATTCTCTGCAACGATTTCTCTACCAGATGAAGCGTCACTCGCAGCGCGTCCCTGCTCTGCTCGGGACCGCCTCGCAATAATTCCGCCAGCGCTTGACCCATGAGCGCGACCTGGGACAAGAGAAAAAAAAAATTAAAATGAAAAAGAAAAACGAAAAATTATAATTAAAGCTGCAAAACTTAGAAATACGATTAGATTTATCTGGGACGTTTCAAAGCTTTAATCAATTGATTTTTTTCATTTTGCATTTTACCTTGTTGGACAATCTTGCGTCTCCGCCGATAAGCAGCCAACCGGCCCAGTTAGCGGGATGAGCAAAGTGTCTGGTATGCTGAACGGTCTGCATCGCCTCGGCCAATGCACGTGACGCTCTCGCGCCCTGCAACATCGCGCTGTAGAATGCCCGTAACAAGATGCTGCCGGCGGTCGGTGGTACTGCCCACATCCCAATGAGAACACATTGCGCGCCCGCGCTCAACAAAGTTTTGGCGAGATTCTGTATACCGTCCGATGTGGCGTTCGTGCAATCTACGTTGCTCCAACTGTTACCGCTGGACACGACCACCAGGCGAGCGGACATCTTCAGCCTGAGTAAATCCGATTGGCTTATCAGGTACTCCGGCCTCTCGGACGGCTCCTCGCACTGATCGGGCGAGAACGCTAGGCTGCCGTTACTCCAGAAGACCGGCACCGTCAGGTGAACGCACTCCGCATCCGGTAGAGACCGCAGAACCGCCGATCTGGTAGCTTCCATTCCTGTCGTGAATAAATGAGAGAAAATTGTATGTTAACTACTTTTCGCGAAGTCGGTGGAATTAAGAAAATTTTTAGAACTGCAGCCGACGCTAACCAGTCATTGCGCGAGCCTCCAATAATTCGGCGACTATTTCCGACTCGGTCTCGGTGGAGGCGACGCTCTCGACCCAACCGTACTCCTCTCGAATGTCCTCCGGCAGAACAGGATTTCCGGCGACGAGCGCGGCTACGGTAGCACCGCCCTCCAGCACAGGTGTTTTCGATCTCTTTCTGAGCGCCGCAAGAGACGGCACCACCAACAACGAAAATCTCTCGCACAGATAATCCTCGCCTGGATTGGACTGCAAAGCCGGGAACGGCGCCAAGTAGAGAGACTTCTCCACCACCATGATCAGCTCCTTTCGCGGCGGCGGTAGCAGATCCTCGAACGGGGCAAGGAGAAGATCGTAGAGCACCTGTATCGGCAGCGGCGCCTGCCACGTAGGTCCTTTCGCACCTCGTCCCCAACGGGCGCTTCCGGCGCGGGAGCTCACGGAGCCGACGCTGAAGAGGCTGCTCAAACTGTAGGAACTGGCGTTCAAGTGATGACCCCTCGACGGGATTTTGGTGGATTCCTCGACAAGCTCGTTGCTCTCGTCCAGCAGCGCTTCGCGCGCTTGTAGGACTCTCTTCTCCAGACCTACCCCGTCGTCCAATGTGGTAGAGTGGAATCGTAACAGTCCACGTCCTGGCGCTAAGCACCACGCATGCAATTCACATCCCACCTCGCTGAAACAATAGTTGTAAATTTCGTTCAATAGTTTTAATCTTTTAAGAAACACGGAAACAGACAAATTATGATTTCACTAAATTTCAAATAAATTATATTTCGCTTCAAGTTGTAATACTCGTTTGCAAAAAGGTCATACCTGTAGTACAGGATAACTCCGCGCTGTCGATCAATAATCTCGGAATAGTGAGCCGCGTCGTCCAGGGAATTGCTCTTGGATCGTCTGGATCTCTCCGCCCAATTCAGAGCCTCTTCGGCCCGATTTAGACTGATTAGTACCTTTTGCAACATTCTGTACGTTTCCGATAGCAACTCGGCTCGATTGGGTTGACCGCAAGAAAGGGACATGGAAGTTCCGTCTAACGATTCCAAGAGATTCGCGGCCTTCTCCAAGTGTTCGACGGAGATGATCGCCTCTCCGGTCTCCCAGTGCACGAGGCCAAGTCTGTGCCGCAGCCTGGCGGCTTCTTCCCGCCTGCCCAGGCCCTCGGACAAGGACAGACCAGACTGCAGATAGCTTAGAGCGCGCGGCAGATCCCCGCACAGATGATGGAGTCGACCTAGACTCGCGAAAGCCGCCGCTCGGGCGGGTTGATCGCCCGCCGCGGCCGCAAGGCTCAACGACTGTTCCTGCAACCTTATAGCTTCCTCGTATTGTCCCAACGTCTCCTGAGTCACTCCCAGATTGGCACATGCGCGCGCTTGCAATCCGGCAGCGTCCAGACCCTCGGCGATCGACAGCTCCAACTGATGGTGACGTAACGCCGAATTCGGATCGTCCATCAGAAGGTGTACCGCTCCCAAACCGCTGGCGGCTTCGGCCTCGGCCGCTTTATCGCCGAGTCCGCGAGCGAGGGCCAATTGGTGCGACAGACAACTGACGGCTTGCTCGTGATTTCCTAACGCGGCATGTACTCTGCCTGCAAATTAACATTCAAGCAAGTATCAATACATATTGTGTTAATATTAGGCGATCGAATGGTTTCTGTAAAAACATATCTAGTAAAAACAATTTATATATTTTTTAAATTTAATAAAATTAATCTAAATTTTATTTTGTCATATCAGTTTACCTAGATCACCGTAGGCAGCACCTCTCGCCTCGGGACTGTCCACTTCATGAGCGGCCACTAATCTCTTCTCGAAACATACCAAGGCTTCTTGTAAATTTCCGGTAGCCTCGCGTGCTCTTCCCAATCCCCTGTACGCTCTCTCCTGATCTCTTATGCTTTTCAATTTCGTAGCGGCTGTCAGTTGCTGTTCGTGGCACTTAATAGCTTCTTCCAGATCGCCCAAGGCCTCGTAACAGTCTCCCAAATTTCCGAGAGCTCGAGCTTTGTCGAGTAAAGCGGTGCCGGTAGTTAGCGGTTCTAAAGTTGCTAACTGTTGCTCGAAATAACCGATAGCGTCCTCGTAATGCGTCATATTAAGCCTAGCTATGCCCAAATTTCCTAATAATAAAAAATCATAGTGTAAGAAGAAAAATCGTTCCTAACTTTTCAAATTTAATTATACTTTAAAAAAAATTATGTTTATTTTTATACAATGAATTATTTCCTTTTTTATTCTAGCACGTCATATTCTGTACATTTATATATTTAATTTATCTTTCTTATTTGAAACAAGGAATTTTAAATAGATATCTCAAATATTTTATTTAAAATTAGCTAAGCCCAAATTTTCTAATAATAAAAAATTATAGTATAAGAAAAATGTTTTTTAACTTTTCAAATTTAGTCATACTTTTAAAAAAAATTATGTTAAAATTATTTCTATACAAGGAATTATCTTCTTTTTTATTCTGGCACATCTATTCTGTATAGATATTTATATATTTAATTTATCTTTGTTATTTAAACGAGAAATTTTATAATAGATATGTCAAATATTTTACTTTAAATTCTACAAATTTAAATATTATAAATTTTAAATTACCTAATGCTTGAGCTTCAACTCCAGAATCCGCTAGTTCCTTCGCCCTCTCCAATTGTTCTTGATAACACTTGACCGCATGAGTGTACTGTCCCAGTGCCATATGCACAGCGCCCAGGTTTCCGTGTGCCCTGCACTCGCCGCGCAAGTCACTGGCTTCCTGTCTCAGAGTTAATTCCTGCGTGTGAAAACCGAGAGCCTTGTCCAAATTCTTCGTAGCTCGATGAGCGATCCCCAATGCGCCGTAGGCAGCCGCTTCCAGGCAACGATCGGCCGCTTGACGTGCCAAATTCAACTGACGTTGGTGCATCTTGATAGCTTCGTCGACCTCTCCCATGCGTAACAAACAATCGCCGATATTTCCGAGAGCGCGAAACTTGCCGGCCAGATGTTTGGTCATGTGTGCAATCGCTGCATTAAAAAATTAATTATTTATTACAATCTATTATCATTATATATTTTATTTTTATATTTATTCTCTTATTAAAACATAAGAGAAATATATTAAAACGTAAGTGTTTTAATATGTTTCTCTCTTATGTTTTAATATATTAATATATAATTATATAAAATGTTAGTCAAAATATATTTTAAAGCTACGCAAGAGTTCTTACCCAAATAATATTTTTGACATTCCAATGCGGTGTCCAGATTTTCCAGCGCCAAGTGGGCCAATCCCAGATTGCAGTAAGCTCTACCCATCCCGGATTTATCCTGCAAGTCCTTCGCTAGCGCTAAATCCTGATCGTAGTATCTGACCGCCTCCCGATGATTTCCCAGGCAGTAGTGAGCGTATCCCAGGAAATGGCACGCTTTAGCCTCTCCCTCAACGTCGTGCAATTCTTGCGACAACATCAGATAGTGCTCGTAATATGGCACCGCCTCCTCGAATCTACCGCGCGAAGAGAGGCAATTGGCGAGATTCAGCAGGGCGCACGCCTCACCAGCCGTGTCCTTCAATTCGCGCGCTATAGCTAAGTGAGCCCGGTAGTGCCTCAATGCCGCTTCGTGGCCTTGCACCGCCTGATAGGCGACCGCCAGGTTTCCGTGCGTGCTGGCTTCTGAGCTGCGATCGTTTACCTGAACGACAAACTTCTCGTTAACAGAGTTTTTATGATGATAATATATTTAGCATAGGGATTAGTATATAATATATAATATATAAATATAATATATTTATCCTAGGAATCCTCCATATGATAAAATATTTATCTATCCTATCGCCTACCTCTTTGCTTATCGTTAATTCCTGTTTGTGGTACTTGATGGCTTGTTCGTAATAACCCAAGGCGTTGTAAGCATTGCCGATGTTTCCGTACGCTCTACCCATACCGGCCTTGTCTCCTAACGATCTCGCGATTCCCAAGTGTGCCTGATGTAATTTCAAGGCGGCGTCGTGCTCGCCGAGCAGTTGGTACACTATGCCTAGATTGCTGCAGGCTCGTCCCTCGGCCACCTTGTCTTTCGTCACCAACGCGACGTCGAGCTGTCTCTGATGCCAGAGCTTCGCTTGCGCCAAGTCACCTACATTTAAATTAAAGTTACGTTAATGTAAATGAAAATTAAAATAAGAAAAACAAAAATATTACAGCTTATATATTATCCTAATATATTATATTTTTTTAAATAATAATTATCGTTATCGTCACCTGCACATCTAGCGGCGTGACCTAATCCCGCGTAAGCTCTGGTCTCGATCGCTCTGTCTCCGAGCTCCTGAGCTATTCTCAAAACGTTCTCGTGATAAGCCATCGCCTGCCCGAAATTTCTACGATAGTGATGAGACGATCCCAAGTTACTGAAGGCCCTCGCCTCCTCCACGCGATCACCCAGTCGTCTGGCTATCCTCAGGTGCTGCGTGTGGCAGTCGACAGCGCTTTCGAACTCCCCCATCGCCAAATAGACCGCCCCGACGTTGCCGATCTCGCGGGCCTCCTGCAGTCGATCGCCCATCTGCTTCACCAATTGCACGCACTGCTTGTGGGAGGCCAGAGCGTTCGGCAAATCGCCGATCGCCGTGTAGACGTGTCCCAGACTGGTCAAGGCCGATGCCGCCGCCTGCGTGTCTTTGCACTTCATGGCTAGAACAAGTTGATACCTATGAGCCGTCAGAGCCTCCTTGAAGCTGCCCTTGCTGAAATAAGCGGAGCCCAGATTGCCGTGGGCTCTGCACTCGCCCTGCGTGTCCCCCAGGGAACGCGCCACTCCTGAAAGAAGTTTAATTGTCAGTAAATAAGAGCTTACCCTGCGTTAAATTAAAAATTGAAAAGAATCAATTGAAAAAATTTCCGCTCGGCTTATCTGTGACTTACCCAGATCCTGCTGCATGTAATTGATCGCCTTGTCCAAAGAGTTCAGTGCCCAGTACGCGCTGGACAGAGCCGAGAATACGGAGCCCCTCAATTTCAAGCTGCACGAGCCGATGGTGAGCGCGGCTTCCAGCACGCCAGCGGCCGCCCTGTACTGCCCGGCTCCGAGCAGCTCTTGACCGACCACGGATATAACGACGAACGGAGACTCGTCGAGCTTCATCGCGCGCAACTGTTGGAACGTCGGCTCCAACGTCGGTCGCAGCGGAGACTTCAGGGACGCCTCTACCAAGCCTGACAACAGTTGATGATTCGACGCGTCGTGAGCTAATCCCGTGCTGAAGGCAACGAGTGCCTCTCCGTGACGTCCTAGGCATTGCAGTGCTACTCCCTGCCGGTAGTACGCCTGAAAATCCGATTGCTACAGATACGAAATTGGACGAGATGCGACTGGGTGGAATACGGGAAAGAGTGCATACCTTTGGCCACTGCGGACTCAGCTCGGTAGCTCTGACAGCGTCTTGCAACGCGAGTGCGAATAATCCCATTTTGAGCCTGGCGGCCGATCTGTTTGAGTACAATACGTGACTGAGGGGATCCAAGGCGAGAGCTTCCGTGTACAGTGTCGCGGCCAGTGCGTAATCCCCATTCTGGCACGCCGTGTTACTCCTGCGCACCGTCTCTAAGAATAATGCCCTCGATCCAGCGGCCAAGGCCGACGTACCTTCGGGCTCCACCTTCGTCAAATTACAGCACAATCTTATTTCCCACTTTTTATTAATAGATAAAACTAAGCTGCTTATATTAAGTTAAGACAAGCGTAGTTACAAATCTATGAAAATAAATCTACAAAAATCTATGGAATTAAAAGTGGCCCACTAAACGAATATCTGTTATTTCCATTCTTAACTGTAATAAAATACATAAATCAAAAACCTTGAACTCACAACGTCAATCAATATAAATACAAAATAAATTATATTTAAATTATATTGAAAAAAACAAAATAATTTTGTAAAAGATTCCAAATAGAGCTGAAATTTAAGAAAATACTATCAGATTTTTATAGAATTTACTATTAACATATATAAATTTACAGTATTTATTATACCACATTTATAAATGATTAACATATCTAAATTTCTCCACTATGAGGGATAGAAAATAAAAATACAAACTAGCATCAATAAAAAAAATGAATGAATAAATATGTAGACCAATTAAAGAGACTGTCAAAACATGCAACAAGAGATGTGAGCGAGGGTCTGACCTCAGAATTGGGCCCAAAGTAGCAACAGGAATCTCGTAATTACCTCAGAGATATCCCTATGAGACATTGCTTAAGACGAGCTAGTAGCATCCTCTGGCATGGGCATCATCTGCGGCGTGCTGGCATGAGGATCGGGCCCCGGATTGAAACGTGCGGATTGAACCTCTATCTCTCTCTCTCTCCTGTCTCTCCCGCTCACGACGGGACTTACCTCGGCACTACCTTCCCTCGACGACGTCCGCTCGTAAATTAAACTCTCTGCGTGTACGCGCGTTACATTGTTTCACCGCGCGCGAGCGGTAATAAGGGGGTTTCTTTTCGCTAGAACGGGCAAATGGGACCGATTAATAAAAAAGGAGGGAGGCAGGCGTCTTAGGGGGGCACCCACTGCATTCCTCAGGCACAGCCATCTTGGAATGTGACCCCGGGTCCCCCCGTCGGGCCCAGAGCGGGGCCGGCACTGCTGCCTGCCGCCTGCCCGGTGCTGTTTGCTTCTTCTATGCGCTCCTCTCCTCCTCCTCCTGTACCTGCTCGCCGGGCCCCCGATGAGGCCCCGGCCGTGTGTTGCCCCGCTCGTTTTGCAACACTATCATCAGCATATGAGCGTGCAAAACGAGCGCGCGCGCACGCACGCACACACATACACACTATACATGCATACACACACACACACACACACACACGTGGAAACGTTCGCCACGCGCGCGAAAATACGGGGGCCCGCGACGGGGACCCCGATGCGCTGCTTTGCAACAGCAACCGCTCCGCATCTCGCGCCTCGAGTATCAAGGGGGGCCGCTTTTCGTCTCGCCGCTTCATAAATTCCATGTTGATTCGCTAATTATCTTATAGATGAGGAGGATCTCTCAGGAAACAATCGGACGCCTCCACGAGCTCTTCGGGACAGTCTCTGTTAACCAGAGATACCGTTATGACTTGGATATACCTTGCATGCATATGTAAAAATGTAAATGACGAAAGATCTTATTCTTTATGCGACGAGAGGAAAAGTTGATCAATGTTGATGATAAAAACTATGACATTTTATGCATTGAATTGAATAATGAGCATGAATAAAAATTCAATTTTTTGAATAGTTCCTGAAGATTAATCAATATCTCAAATATTACCTTTGTTCCTCCACGTGCCGAGGGCAATCAGGTAATCTTACGATTATTGTTTTCTAAACGTCGAAAAAAGGCGAAAAGCCAAGCGAGCGTTTTAAAAAGTATCGTCCAATGCGTTCCTGAGACGGCAGTTTCCGGGATTATTTTTACGGAGGCTCTTGAAGCTCTGCCAGCTTATACTAAAAAAAACTGCGTTATTGAGAACGGAAATAAAAAGATATCGAAACGCGTGGAAATCCTTGACTGCTAAATAAAAATCTTAAGTGCGCTATTTTTATAATATATTCCGCTTATCGGAAGGCTACATATTGAAGAAGATAAAATTCAAATTAGCTGGAACGTTTTTTTTATTATTATTGTTAACACATACATCCTTTTATATTTACCTCTGCAACATCGAGGTACTTAATTCTCAGACGCGATTTAAAATAATTTAAAATTAAAATCGTTGGAGAGTTTCTCTATCAATTAGTGCTAGGTGTCTCTGTACAAAATTGTACATAAATATATTCTGTTTGTATAAATACATGTATCTATATGTATTGGTATGTATGTGCGTTATGGCTTACACATCTATACATATCTACTTCACACTTTAACAGTTAATAAAAACGATACTTTCGTATTCGTATCTTAGACTGAGATTGCAGGAATGTTACGTTCGTTGCAGAATGTTATTTCCTAAACGCTAAACGAAGTTATTCACGACACGTAATTCAATAAAACACACGATTTTCGCAGTTAATTGGTGATTTTGGCATCGCACATCATTTAAATGCAACTAGAGCCGGAGGTAGAAATATACAATTATACCGTGCAAAGTATAAAACTCATATCCTTTTCTACATCATAAAATCGATCTTTGTCAGAAAGATGCACTCGCGATACGTTTGTTCAATTATGATTTTCGATATATGAACATTTTTTATATGAACATCGGCCAGCGCGTTCTCCCATCGCGCATAACATTTTAAATAAAAATATAAATAAAAACTCTAATCGTAAAAGATATGTTGTACAAATACGCTTGTAAAAAGTAAACGTCAAGATAAAAGCAATATTTGTAAAAGCTGAGAGAATGTATCGTGTACGTATATACGAAATGCGACAGACCTAAGGCCATACTTTGTTGAAAAGTTCCATGAAGGAATCGTAAATCATGAATGTTATGGCAACGTCTAAACATACTCTGCTCATTCGTGGAATGGTTCCTTTGTAAAATGCCATTGGACCCTCTTTCGTCCACACCTGGACCACGCAATCCAAGCTGTTCTTGTACTTGGAAGCTTCCAATCCCTGAAAGCAATATGGAGATTCAGAATAACAAAATTTAATGGAATTATGTATATGGAATTATATGACAAACGTAGACATCAATTAACAAAATAACACTTTTCAATTTAGATTATATGTGACACGCATTATGTACACATACCTGCATCCTAGTTTTTATAACATCAATAGGCGTATTTCCAAAAACTGATGCTGCGCCAGCAACTGCACCAAAAGCACCGACGACTATTTTAGGAACACTTTTAGTATTGTCACCTCCTTTGTACCAATCTTTTAATGTTTCCATCACGAAGAAGCGGATAGCTTGATTGGATCCTTGCTTCAAGATTGTGGGCATTAAGCCTTGGTACACTCCTCTAAAACCTAAATAAAAATTGTTAATATTACGTTTAACGCTATAAATATAATTGCATTACATTAAAATAATTTTAAAATAATTTTGATAAACCAAATTGTTTTAATTTAAATACAAAAATGTCTTCACACATATAATTACTACTATTTACATACATAATAATTAAAATCTTAATTTTCAATACAACTTAATTTTATATATTATTTCAATTTTTCATTCTTATATGATTATTACTTAAGTGGAAACGGATTCACGATTGTTGCATAACGTACTGTGATAAACCGAGTAATACATAAACATATGTTGCAATCTGACCCACTTAAACAAGTTATGGCTGTCACAACTGGATTTCACAGTTAAATCATACTTATTTCAATTATTGATATATTTCAATTATTCTATATTTCTCTTTTCTTTTCACGTTACAACTCGATTGCAAACAGTTTTTAATTAACAAAAGCATAAATTAACAAGTAAAATTGAGATATATAATTGGTACTCGACTTTACCTTGCTCCTTCACAATCATGGAAACTCCATGGAAAAATCCTCTGAATCTCGGATTCGCCGAGCGTTGATCGTTGATGAATTTCACCTTAACCGTCTCCATCGGCGTAACCGCAAAAATAGCTTCGCACACACCAGCGCATAAGCCAGCGAGGAGCCTCCTTTGGGGATTGAGCTTTCCATCCGCATCTACTAATTGCTTTTTCACCGACTCAAAAGCGCCAAACCGCACCGCCGACTTCGGTATAGAACCGTACAGCAGAACGGACAAGCCTCTGTATAAGCCGAAGAATCCACGAGTCTTAACGGTCTTGGTGACACAGTCAACTATTCCTGTATATTCTTTGCTAGCACCAGCCTTTCCTTCCAACTGCAGCTGCGTTTTCACGTATTCAGTGGGATATGTGATGCAAATTTCTATGCCTCCAGTAATACCACCTGGAAATCAATTGTATTCTCAAGTATTTATAAGAGTAGAAATAATGTCTCTCTATATGTATGTGCGTTAAGTATTATAATTGTTAAAGAAATTTTATTGAGAAAAAGGCTGACTTTAAATAGTCTAATAAAGAATTAAAACCGCCATTAAAAAGTAAAAGTGGAAATAAAAGATTATGCGATTTTAATAGAATAGAAATAGAATAGAAATAGTACAAAAATACCATCGCAGCGTAATTTGCATCTTTATAATTTTTTTCTAATTAAATGTAACTTTATTTTTTAAATTAAATTTTACTGGGCACGTCCATCAATTCATTGCTTAAATCGTTTACATAGAGCTCATAAAAATCATTGCGTAAAGTGAGCGCAATTCACGGTCTTTCCATTGCCACGGAAATTCAGATGCGATGACCTTGCGAGGAACGTAGATATTCGCATACATACGCACGCAATCGCACGAGATCGCGATCGCGCGATTTCTCGTGTTATCGTGCGATTTGCCAGAGTGCACTGACTCCAAAAAAAAAAAAGAAAGAAAGAGAGAAGGCTCTCTCGTGGAGCTTCACGTTTCCGCGTGACGCGGTGCACCCAGACAGGTGTCAAAGGTCGACGGGTCACGGGCGATCGCGCGAGCGAGAGAGAGAACGCTCGCTCGCCTCTCGCCCGAGGGGCGGAGTGGAAGGAGTAACGTACCGGCTATGACCCCTTTGAGGCCCAGGTTGCCGGAGGCGTTGGCGGCGGCGGCGACGCCGGTCTCGCTCATCCATGGTCTGCGTGGAAACGGCAATGGGCCGCGGCACGCGCTCGCCAGCGTTGATTGCTGCTGCTGTTGCTGCCTCCTCAGATCCATGCTCGGCGCGCTAAGGCTGCGAACGTGCTCCACGCGCTGTCGCCGCTCGTCCACCTACGCCGCTGGACACCGTCGGGGCCGGACTGCCACTCGATTGACACTCATGTGTGCGTCCCGACGAGCGCGTAACGCACCGGTTTCCCCCATATTTTCCCCCTTCCGCGGACGACGTCGCCTCATTTGACGTTGTTGCTCCACCTCGCCTTGCCTTTGCCTCGCTTGTCGTCTTGCTCCGAGGCTCGTTACGCATAGATGTATATCGCAATATATGCACGTACACACATACATATACAGAGGACGGCACAGGAACTGAAGGGATCTGTTGAATTAACTGCGCTTGCCTGCACTCTTCTTTCTCTCTTTTATCTGATCCTTTCTCTCTCTCTCTTTCCTTCTGTACTTAAAATAAAATAAACACAATATTTATGCTTTGACGAGAAAATGTGAAAAAATTGCAGAAAAAAATATGTAAAGAACAGACCTCGGATTATACATTCGCTGTATGTCAATATTCATGCCAAATGTTGCACGAGCATTTACAAAGCTCTGATTTTTGTACACACATATAGATATATACCAATACATATATGTGTATACGTATATATACACATATATATATTTAAATATTGCATAGAGTTGTTTCGCAACTATATATTATTCATATATTATTCACGTATATCTCCGGAAGAATTTCTAAAATTTTGGCCTAAAGAATATTCCAGATAAAAATTTCAGACTTGTGAGAAATTGCGATAACATCTATTTCTCCAATTAAAATCAAATGTGCATATGTAGATTTTTGCAGGACCGTAACGAGGGCTTCAGAATATAAAAAGAATGATTGTCTGCCGATAGCTATTATCAAGTATAACAATCAATTTGTCTTAAAACCATTGCCAAAAATTGCTGTGTAATTGAACGTATATCTATCTGTGTGAAAAAAAGAATCGTGTACGGACTGTATTAAATTATATTTAAAAAATGAGAGTGAAAATTGGAAATGCCGAAGAAAACATTTTGGCGAGGGTACCGATTGGATCGATTGCGGCCCTACCACCGGTGAGTCCATAGTTCAGGGCTGAAACAGGAGTGCTTCGTCATGGAATCGATTACCTTCGTCCAAATTCTTCAGAAAGTAGAGCATTGTATTACGTTTACATTTTACATAAGTAGAAAAAGAGATATCATAATGTGAAATCAAAGTAGTAACTAATTCACATTTCGATTCATTCGTCAAAGATCGCTCATAGATAAATCTCGAATCAGTTTAAACAGTCTTTTCGTTTTAGTTTTCTTTCTCCATTCAATCCATTCAATCGATATAATGAGATGCGACCCATATGGATTAATGAGATGCCGAAATGTTAGATAATTCCCGAGACACGTGCTTTGCGACGATCGTTTATCATGAATGAGTGACACAATCACGTGATCTTTTTATCTCGTCGTACGATTGCAACACTAAAACAGACAATTGTGGCATTATGATAGATTTTGTAATATACAACGCGACAAATTTTTAATGAAACATTAAAGATATGTTTAATATAACGTATAATTATTCAGAACACAATTTTGATTGCATTTCTTACTGTTGTGTTGAGGTTGCGTCACACAGTGAGCTGTTATCAGGCTTCGGTTGAAGTGTTATATGATATGTATGTGTCAATAACTGCGTGGTCAATCACACCATGTGCACGTACGACATACGACAACAGTTATTTATCACGCAATGATACAAACAAATTGACTGTTATGTAATAAATCAAATTGGAAAAATATTTTTAAATATATTGAAATAAAAAGAAAAAGTAGACTGTAAATTGAAGAATAACTCGTTAAATTGGAATATCCTATTTTTAAGAATGTTCTACAAGAGCGATTATGACTGATTAATTGTGCAGTTACATTCTTTTTTTTCTTTAATTATAAATGCAACCATGTGTCCCGTTATTTTTACAAATAGTTACTTCCACATATTTCATATTCTACGGTACTTTAAAAATTATATTACTTATAATTATTATCAATCCTTATAAATCTTATAAATAGCAGGCATACTAAAAATTAGGATGGTATTGATTGAAAAATGTCGATGGTACAGTTTCTTTTCTAGATGTGCTTTTTTTACCAGCCAGGCGTCGTATTTGCTAGACGTCGCATACGTCTGAAAGAAGAAAACAAACGATCAATTGCCTGCGTTTACGATAAAGTTAACGTACACCTCTACAAATTTCATTTCTTACCGAGTATTTCGATCTTGATCGCGTATCTTCTTTTCCATTTCTGCGTCCGTTAAAGTTTCTAAAAACGGTGCCCACTGATCGGCCTCTGATGGAGGTCTAAAGGGAACTTCTACGGTAGGTAGAGGTGCTTCAGAAAATGCGTACGTTCTTTGATGCCATGATAATTGGCCGCGTACACTGCCAATAATGTAATCAATCATATTATTTAGGCAATAATTAGTATCAATTTTATATACAGGGTGTCCAATTTTAAATAATGCAGTCAATTTTCTCCAAAATTAATAAAATGGAACAGTTTCGAGGGGAAGCATATTTTGGTCGTTTTTTTTCTAAATAGAAATACCAAAAAGATATGATTGTCATCTCCACTTTTTTTACACGTTTGCTGCCTATCTGAAAAGATACACCACCTCTGGAAGTTAATTTCACAAAAATTTATTTTCAGCATTTTAAAGCAGCGTTTAGTGACGACTGGCTTGCTCACTTTAACTGAATGTAGATCACGCGCCAAAGCGTGATCGGCTAATTGCAAAGGAGTCTCATCACGCGCTGATGCGTGATGGGCAGCGAACGTGTTAAATGGAATTATATAATTTTTTTTATATAATAATTCCTCTAATTATTCTGCATATAAAAGTAAAGATATTGAAGGTAAAGATTAAGATAAAGATATCGAAAAATCAATACTTTACGAGATATTTTTTACTTTATCATGCTTATATTTTGACATAAAATATGAAATATCACGTAAATTATTGACTATCTTGATAAATTGTACCTAAATTTTTTTATACACAGAGTAATGAGAAGAATCGATTGGTGTAAAAAAACACACAATTAAAAAAAAATATGTAGTTGCATTTCGCAAATTGCATTTTTTGTTTTAATATATGCTACATATATATCAACTTATTGTGTATCTAATAATACATAATATATTATTATGTATATCTATTATATTTTAAATATTTATATCTTGTATACAAAATATTTTAATATTTTTCAATTTTGTTTTTGTAAAGTTAATTCTAATAATTTCAGTATTAAAATTTTTTTTAACGAAATAATAGCATAATTGTGCTATTACAAGAAAAGACTCATTGTTTTACCTGTAAGCGATAGCGGTGACAAATTCTCCGCCGAGACCGAGCTCCGCGCAAAGCTTCATCGCAAACTTCTCTGGATTATTCTCCTTTTCCGACATGTCCCATTCTACCTGGTCTACTAGCGAGGTATTTCCCACGTGTATATTTAATTTAATTATTACTCTCTGATCGCACTGATCTTCCAAAATCGTCTCCTGAGGGAATGCTTCTATTTGCTGTCTTATCGCCTGCGCGATTGCAGGAACAAAGGTCAATGGATTTAAGTCTAAATCGTCGCATAGCACTTCGGCAAATTGTTCGGGTGTTATGAGACTTTCTGTGAGATAAGAAAATACATTATTGTTCTAATTAGTTAGGATTCTTATTTTTTTTAATGCAAAAATATATATACCATTTTTATTCCAAGTAAAAGTGTCCCGTAATTTCTGGCCTTCGATTTCCATATCTAAACGTATTGGGACCAGCATTTCCTGTTGCGCCGCGTTCTCCAAGTTTGACGATGGATCCGTATCGTCGAAACTGTATCGGAAATAAAATAAGAATTGAAGAATTTCATTATGCAACAGACTGTCATTAAAAGTTTCATTGTATTTTCTTGCTTACCATAGCGGAAATGTCCTAACTTTTTTATTGTGCACTCTGTTGCGATTTATTGGTGTAGCTTGAGGAACTGCATCCAGGTGTGAGCTGTTCGGCAGGCTGGGCACCCACGCCATCGACTTCTTGGATTTGCCCTCTCTAGGCGCCGGCGGTTCGGTCGAGTGCACGGACACAGCCTTATACTTGTCGTCGTTGCCCTCGATGATATCCTCCACCTCGCTGGCTCTCAATAGCGAAACGCTAGACGCGAGAACATGCTGGCTCAGCCCAAGTTCCACTAATTTCTTACGTTCGTCATTGGTTATGGATCTCCTGAACATGCCGGGGTATCTCTTGTACAGGGATCCGCGGAAGAGGCGCAGGTAGTTGCCGACTTCTGACCCAATACAGTAGTACTCGCCATTTTCCTCCACTTGGAAGCTTATAGGCTTGTCTCCGTAGGTGCGTAATGCCATTTTGAAAGCTAATTTTGCTGCAACAATTAGCAAAAGACAGAGATGAAATAAGAATCTACAAAGATATAAGATAAATTTATGCATTTGAGATTATTATGCAGAAGAATAAAAACACAAAAAATGTACTTGACGCATAAAATCTAGTTTGCAATAAACAGTAGTAAGCCTTCAGCCTTCTAAATTCTATACTGTGAAAGTGTGAAGTTTAGAGTTTCCTCCAAACTCTAAAACTTTACAGCTGCGATCTGGCCAGAGCTCAAAGATTGCAGCATGAATCGTACAAGATTTCAGGCCTATTGTACACTTTACCGATGATTGAGCAGCTTTTCTTGTAATAAAAATGCCTAAGGCAACATCGGAAACACTCTTTGCCAGAAAAAAAAACTCCAAAGCTTTGCCAGAACAAAAAGTTAAAGGCTTACCGCACCTATATGTTGTAGACTCCCGCCCAGGTCTAACCACTAATTCTACAAAATAATTAACGAAGTTTCCACAAGCATCTAATTCATTCAGTAGATTTATCTAGACACCAGGGTCCCTCCATTATGAGCTGTGATTAGCATAAGGAAGGACTTTGGTGCGCGTTGGCGGCGCATTTCACTCCACGGCCGCCGAGTCCTACACTCCTCACATTGACCCAGGTGAAGACATGAGTTTTCCCTTCCTCCCCCGCCCCCCCCCCCAAGAAAAAGAATAAAACAGGTTTATCCAGACTATGTTTTCCTCTTAACTAGAAGTGCCGAATTTATACAAATTAGCGCAGCGAGTTTTTATACAAACGCTCATCGTAGGCGGCAATAAGATGGACAATAATGCCGGAAACGCTTCGCTGCATCTTCGAAACAAACACTTACGGGCTATCTCGCTGCTTAAGAACTTCCACTAGCGCACCTGGCAACGGAGATAATTCATCCACAGGCGTTCACAAGCTCTCACGAACCTCTTCTCCTCGCGTCCGTTTGTTTACGTTTCCCTGAAAACAGACCAGACACACAGCACCCGCTACTCCCGCTAGCGGATAAGTTTAATTTTTTTTCTTATCGCGTAGAGCATAGATTAACAAAACACCAAGAAAGGCGCAACGATCGCACATTGCGATTCGTCGGAACATGGACGGTCCATGATAGACCTGCAGGCGAGTTTAAAATGAAGAAGTGGTGCACCAATCAGGTTCGAGTATCATGCAACCGGCCGGTCTTATATCGATACAGCTGTTCACAAGATCCCAAAACGTCTAAAATTTAATTGACGATAAGAATATGTATATCTGCGAAATTATTATTAATTTAATATATTTTACCTTTTTCCCTCCTTCCTCCTAAACTGTCGACAAATATTTGAAACATGAACCACAACTCTCCCGTGCAGCAGTATACGGCATTTTCTACGCAAGGTCCGCAGTCCAGTTTAAGGTTATAACTGAACAGAACATTATCAGAAATATAAAATAACATTTAAAAAACATAAAAAATGTAATAGCATATAAATTACAGGACCAAATTAAAAAAACAATGCTTCAACTGTTTTTATTACCTTCTTAAATATTTTCAGGGCAGAATATAGAAGTCTACCATACATCACATATTTATTATTCACGGATAATTTGTAATTTTTGTTCCACATCAGTTGCACACTTTACTAGTATAAGAAACACAGTAATGTAATAACAGACAACTTGCTAGACTACATGCTGATGCATTGCTCTCTTAAATATATAATAATTATATTATCTTTTCTCGCACCGAGAATCTGCGCTGGTTGCCTGGCTCACATGCGCCGCGCCATCTCACGTAACGCGCGAGATGGCGCGGCGATAGCAGCGCCCACATCGCTACCAACCAGTGGAAAATAAATATGAAAAACCAAATGAGAGAGAGGCGTTCTCTTACTAGAGTCCTAGAGATTGGCCGCCGATAGGCCTGATAATAGCCCGTGCGGCGGCAGCGCAGAGTTGTCACGAAGGTGCCCCCGGTATATCGAACGTCAACCCGCACGTAGCAGAAGCGCAAAGTTCCCCGGGGGGCGGACGGCGTCACCCACTCGGTTCGCGAATAAAAACGACTCGACCCTTCTCGCCCCTTCTCCCCGCCGCCGTCGGCCGCTGTTAAATAGACAGGTAATTAATGAGTCAACGGCGCGAGCAGCTGCAACGGCGGCCCCGCTCCAGATGCAACCGTTCGAGATCCTACGTAATGTTGCTTTCTTTTTTATTCCGCTCTATTATCATCACGCGCGAGCGAGCGGGCGAGAGTGCGCGCGCGCGCGCGCGCGCGCACCACGCCGCTCGCTTATCGCCTCTCGCGCGGCGATTATCTTATTTTCCCCGAGGCATTCCCCGCCTCGATATCGCCCGTCCACAGCGCTCCACGTTAAATGACAGTTCGATCCGTTGGCGGGGGAGTTAGCAGTACGGCACCATAGATTCTGGACATTGATCCACTCCCGGGTTTGCTATATAGCGAAATCTTATTTAATTTCACTGCATACGTCTTTCTCCTCTCTCCCTCTCTCTCTCTCTCTCTCTCCAGTGTAATAGTCTCCATCAGTTTCTATTGCCGTTCCTTCGTAGTTCACTCACGGCTGATTTTGACATTTCTGTTTGACACGTCTGCAATCTCTCTACTTTGACCTTAGTATTAGTTTGGTGTAATTAGATTGCAGTTATACGGCCTGAGGTAAATTAATATTTAGTTTTCGGAAAATGAGATTTGTGCAACATGATTATTTGTTTTATTAATTAAATAAATAATATAAGGAGTTGTCATGCGTGCTGTTAAATTGATAGAAAATGCGTTGTCAAATGCATAGAAGAAATAGATGAGAGTTCTATCATATTGATATAATTAAGTGACTTTAGAGATTTCTTAATATTTTAGAGATTTTTCCTTTCCTTGGTGCACTGCAAATTTGTATAATTATATTTTGTTACATGCGCTGCCACAGACAAAATGACGGACTCAAAGTATTTTACCACTACGAAGAAGGGAGAGATATTTGAGCTCAAGTCGGAACTGAACAATGAGAAGAAAGAAAAGAAGAAGGAAGCTGTGAAGAAGGTGAATAAAAATATTCGTTATCGCACGTTAAGCTTTCACGAGAAACGATAACTTTGGCCTTGAAAGTAATATCATACAAACATCATACTTTAATATCATACAAATAGTAAGCATTTTCATGCCGAACGCTTAAGATATAACTATAAGAGGTAATATTTGGATTAGTGAGGTAAGTTGTGTGCGAAATATCTAAAATAAAGAAAGTCGAGTCTTATCATTCTGACTTCTTTCTACAAAATTATTTCTTGTATGATACTCCTTTTATTTTATAACTATATTTTATAATTATTTTTATAATTTAATAATTCTCTGATACATCAATAATACATTATTCTGAATGTATAAATGTATTAAAAATATGTTACATATATCTTTATACATGGCATATATCTTTATAAATTGTTATATGTTTAAAAATTAAAAATAAATAAATTAAGAGAGCAATGCATCAGCATGTAGTCCAGCAAGTTATCTGTTATTACATTACTGTGTTTCTTGCACTAGTAAAGTGTGCAACTGATGTGGAACAAAAATTACAAATTATCCGTGAATAATGAATAATATATGATGTAATGTGTGGTAGAGCAGTATGCAAACCTCCTAAATACGTCCTTTTAGAAAATAATATCGTAGAGGATGAGAGTACGAGATCAATTGATTCTAATAGCGATAACAAAAATGATAGAGCTGTCCTTATTAAGAATGTTACATTCGCATATTGCTACTTGCACGTTACATTGCTTAACTTAACACAAGTGTATCGTTGATTGTCTGCCCAGGTCATTGCTTCCATGACAGTAGGAAAAGACGTGTCTGCACTGTTTCCCGACGTGGTGAACTGCATGCAGACCGACAATCTCGAACTGAAAAAGCTGGTGTACCTGTACCTGATGAACTACGCTAAGAGCCAACCGGACATGGCCATCATGGCGGTCAACACGTTCGTCAAGGTAACGTAGCTTAGAAACTCATCATTCAATTCGTCATCACGATTTTACTATATATAAACGCACCTTTACCCTCTACATTTTTCTTAATAACACTTGGATGATGTTCAGAGTCTCGTCTGTAATGAGAGGCAAACTAGAGAATTATCCGTCGTTACTGTACACCCGATAACGATCGTCGGATTGTAAATATAATCTCCCTTATATTGGATATCATCCTTGGTGTGTTACATTTTACAGCGTGCCTCGCACTGTATACAGACTGTGCTTTGCAAATTTACAGTTTGCACAGAGCTGTCTGCGTTATGGGACGGAATGTAACTTTTTCGTTCATTGCGATCGAATTGTTTATTTTTCAAAGGGCACGGATTTGAATTTTTATTATTCCAATACTCCGTTTTAACAGTAAAAGGCCGTTGAATTACCTTCTGGACAATGAACAATGAAATCTTTTCTCACTTTTTCATAATGTGACAAAATCAAATTCCAGAAATGTACAACTCCGTTAGGCAGATCGATAATAGACAACTACAATTAATCTCCATAATACATCATCAGTTTATCGAAATTGATAGAGTAATTTAAAATCTTATTATTCTGCTCACGCTAATGCACTGATAAATACTCTTGTTTTCTCGGAATTGAGCATGTAACTTTCTTTCGAGAATTCACACAATTTTCAATCTATGTACGAAACTCTTGAAGCAAATTGTACATACATTCTTCACAGTCCTGTTTGTTTTATGATATAAATATATTAAATCGATTCTTACATTGCAGTTGCGTCTCGAATCGAGGAATGATAGATTCGAACATAAATTTTTTACTCGTAAATTTCTAATGTGCAGCAGCATGAAAATTGTGATCTTTTAAATATTTATTTTATACATATTTATGCATTACCAATCGGTGCTTGTATAAAAATAATATTTATTAATTGCACGCAATTTGTATCATATTGAAAATTTCAGTGTATCTAATGAATGTAATTCGTGTTACAAATAATACCTCCTAATGTGATTAATATAAATATTTGTAAATATACTTTTCTATATATTTATGTTGGCCGATATAAGTTATCTCTATTTGCATGATGCTAATATTGGTGTAACACAATTCTTTATTCAAAAACTTATGCCTTAACGATTGTCAAAAAAAAAAAAGAGAAAGAATTAACGAAGACTTGATATACTCGTGCTCTTTAAAAAATGATCAGTTCTCGATTACACACTACTTTAAATGGCTGATAAGTATAGTATTTAACACTTAATGAAAAATGGTGACGGTGACCAATTTGACCTTTTTCGTTCTGACACGCAAAAGGAGCTAGCGACATCTCCGATGACAAAGGTACCAATGCTACTTTCTACTTTGTTAAAGTTCATGGGTTGAGATAGATAGCCACTACTGTGACTAGACTTGAATCCCTGGCTTGCCCGATTTTTGCGCAGGACTGCGAGGACCCAAATCCGCTGATTCGCGCGCTGGCAGTTCGCACGATGGGCTGTATACGTGTCGACAAGATAACCGAGTATCTGTGCGAGCCGCTGCGCAAGTGCCTGAAGGATGAGGACCCGTATGTGCGCAAGACCGCAGCCGTGTGCGTCGCCAAGCTTTATGACATTAACGCGGCCTTAGTCGAGGACCAGGGGTTCCTGGACCAGTTGAAGGATCTCCTGTCCGACAGCAATCCAATGGTACGCAAGCTCTTTCCTCTCTCGTGTCAGAGAGCTTAATAACTTAAATAAAACAACAAACGTTCAAAATTTTATTCAATTTGTAAAGATATTTGATAAAATATTGTTAGAAGAAGTAACAGAGGGAAGGAAATTTGTATTAAGCATAAAAGATTATAAAATTAATCGTTATCTGAAGATAATACATGTCGAATGTTATTAGGTTGTCGCGAACGCGGTAGCTGCTCTGTCCGAGATCAACGAGGCCAGTCCGAGCGGTCAACCGTTGGTGGAAATGAACGCGCAGACCATAAACAAACTACTGACGGCGCTCAACGAGTGTACGGAATGGGGCCAAGTTTTCATCCTGGATTCACTGGCGAATTACTCGCCCAAGGATGATCGCGAGGCGCAAAGCATTTGCGAACGGATCACGCCGCGTCTGGCGCACGCTAACGCTGCAGTCGTGCTTTCTGCTGTCAAAGTAAATACAGATAAATGCATAGAAATAAATCTAAGAAAAAAATTTGATTATCCCTTAAAGAATTTATCGCAATTTTTATTTAAAAAAATATTGACATCAACATTTAAGAACAAGAATAGGCTCGTCAATTTCTCTTGGAGTCTTTATTTTCAAATCTTTGCCAACGAGAGATAATTTGATAATTAACCGAATTTACTTTGACATTTTAGGTATTAATGAAATTAATGGAGATGCTGCAGTCCGAATCGGATTTTGTCGGCACACTTACGAAGAAATTGGCACCTCCTCTCGTCACGTTGTTGAGCTCCGAACCGGAAGTTCAGTACGTCGCATTAAGAAATATCAATCTCATCGTGCAAAAACGACCGGATATTCTGAAACACGAGATGAAAGTGTTCTTCGTCAAGTACAACGATCCCATTTACGTGAAATTGGAGAAGCTGGACATTATGATTCGATTAGCGTCGCAGGCCAACATCGCGCAAGTCCTGTCGGAGCTGAAGGAATACGCCACCGAGGTCGATGTTGACTTCGTGAGGAAGGCGGTGCGAGCTATCGGTCGCTGCGCCATAAAAGTCGAGCCATCCGCGGAACGTTGCGTCTCCACATTACTGGACCTGATACAAACAAAAGTAACTAAGTAAAAGATATTACGAGACATTTTCAAATATCAAATTTTTAAGTATATTCGTAATACATTTTTACATTTCGAATATTTTACATATTTTACATTGAAATTTAATATTTCAAAATTTGATTATTGACTAATTGACACTTTTAATATTTTTACATTTAGAATTATTTACATTTTGAATTATTTTACATTGAAATTTAATATTTCAAAATTTGTCGATTATTGACTAATTGACACTTTTAATTTTTTTCAGGTGAATTACGTTGTTCAAGAAGCGATTGTCGTAATAAAAGACATCTTCCGCAAGTATCCTAACAAATACGAGAGCATAATTTCGACCCTGTGCGAGAATCTGGACACGCTCGACGAGCCTGAGGCGCGTGCCTCCATGATATGGATCATCGGAGAGTACGCGGAGCGCATCGACAACGCGGACGAATTGCTGGAGAGCTTCCTGGAGGGATTCCACGACGAGAATACGCAGGTGCAGCTGCAGCTGCTAACCGCAATTGTCAAACTGTTCCTCAAGAGGCCCACGGACACGCAGGAGTTGGTTCAGCAGGTGCTCAGCCTGGCCACGCAGGATTCCGACAATCCCGATCTGCGGGATCGTGGTTTCATCTACTGGCGACTGCTCAGCACCGATCCGGCAGCGGCCAAGGAGGTGGTGCTCGCGGAAAAGCCTCTGATCTCGGAGGAGACGGATCTGCTGGAGCCGACGTTGTTGGACGAATTGATCTGCCATATCTCGAGCTTGGCGTCCGTATACCACAAACCTCCCACCGCGTTCGTGGAGGGCAGAGCGGCTGGCGCTAGGAAGTCGTTGCCCGCCAGAAGCAACTCGAACGAGGACTCCACCCGCACAACTGCACAACCTCACGCACAGGTCATACCCGCTCAGGATTCTCTAATCGGCGATCTCCTCAGCATGGACATCGGTGAGCAGTCTTAAATTAAAAGTAAAACTATAGAATTAAAATGTATAATATTTAAAAAAAAAAGTGTGTGTTGTGTGGATGTCTTGGCTTTTCAAAATTATAAGCGTGTCATTCTTTTTTATTTTTCTATGTGGTTGCGAGAAAAATAAAAAATCTATACTACCCGATTTATCCACTTACTCTGTTCCAGGTGGACCGACAATGGTCACACCGACGCCTCAACCGCCGTCGACGGGAATAGGTTTGGATCTTTTAGGCGGCGGTCTCGATGGAATCCTGAACGACAACACGACTGCGCAGCCGGCCGTTTCCCAGACCACAACGGGTCTGCTCGGCGATATATTCGGCTTCAACCAAGGTCCCACGCCTTACATATCTCCCAAAGTTAATTGGCTACCGGCCGAAAAGGGCAAAGGCTTCGATATCTGGGGCACATTTTCGAGAAAGTAATTAATACGAATGTGATATATTAACGAATGGAAAGAACGTTCGAGATACATCCCCTCGATTGCGAATAATCTCTCAACTGCGCGAAATGTGTTGCAGAAATGGGCAAATTAGTATGGACATGACCTTCACGAACAAGGCGATGCAACCTATGGGAGGATTCGCAATACAGCTCAACAAGAACAGCTTCGGACTGACGCCCCTGGCACCGTTGCAGGTTCCGGCTCCTCTGAGTCCCGGATCGAGTATAGAGGCGAACCTTACACTGGCCACCGCGGGCGCGGTGCAACGCATGGAGCCTCTGAACAATCTGCAAGTAGCCATCAAGAACAACATCGACGTTTTCTACTTCGCGTGTCTCGTACCTATGAATGTGTACTTCACGGAAGATGGACAGTTGGACAAGAGGGTGTTTCTATCTACCTGGAAAGATATACCGGCGCAGAATGAGGTATCTCACTCATCCACTTTTCTTCTGTATTTGACAAATGTAGATTATTGTGAGACTCGTTAATAGAGAATCAATAACAGTCTTCAAGAAATCGCATCTCGTTTCGCAGGTACAATATACGCTAAACGGAGTGATGTTGACCGCGGATCAAGTGGTACAAAAGATGCAACAGAATAACGTCTTCACGATTGCTAAGAGGAACGTGGAGGGGCAGGATATGCTTTATCAGTCACTTAAGCTAACGAACAATGTCTGGGTGTTGAACGAGTTGAAAATTCAGCCGGGCAATCCCGACGTCACGGTACGGCTTGACACACGAGTATCACGTTTAAAGGATTACATGGGATACTTTATACACCTTATATACATTTACTTGAAATTTTACTTTACCATTAATCTCCTATTACGGTGTCGTCTAATAATCGTTCCTTTTTTTTTTCTTTGCAGCTATCCCTGAAATCTCGGTCCGTAGAAGTCGCCCCTGGAGTATTTCAAGCGTACAATGCAATTCTACATTCTTAAGTTTTCCGCGTTTGTTTCGTCAATTAGGATATTGCTATAAGATGCGAATTATAAAAGACATAAACGCGAGCATGCGCAGCAGCTTATTTATAGAAGCTATCTATATACACATGAGACTCGAGAGTATCTTGGAACACAGTACTACAGGAATCTCTGTTACAGATTGTCGAATTTATTATAAAAACGAACGATGGGCGTGTGTGGAAATAAAGATTTATGATCACGTCTATATCCTTATGTGCTTTTCTTGTATATGAAAGATATAACACATACATATACATTTTATGTAATCCTGTCTATCATTTTCAACCACATATGTGGTCACCAGATGTAACATACTCGAGAGAAAAGTATAAAAATTAATTTTTGTGAAATTTGCAAAATATTCATGGCAAATATTTTGTTAAATATCCAATTTTAAATATTTCACAAAACTTTGGCTTCAATTGTATTCCTATTTATTATCGCCTATTATTCAAAATGCATTTATAAACAAAATTAATGGGATAAATCTAAAATTTGATTACATATGCAACTACATGTATGATAAGTGTGTTTACAGGCTTACATTTAGTGAAATATATCAAATCCAGTTTTAAATATTCATTTTATATAATGTTATAACTGGATTCTGATTAGATTTGATCTTAAAAGAAATTCAATTTAAATTCAGGAATACTTGTGCAATTTATCACTTCATGTCCATCTCAAATAATTTTAATTCAAAATAATTTAACTTTCAATCTCATCATATAACTGCAGCAACACAATTTGCGGTGCACAAAAGTAAATTTTAAGTTCTCTAAAAAAAGATCTGTATTTTCTGCATTTATTGCAGCATATCTCTGCACGTTGCACAGTTAGGACGTGTCTTGCGGTAAAATAACGCTAATAATACATGTGATTGTGTTTATTTATCGAATATAAAGAGAAGCATCGAATACATATCGCATAAATTAACACTGGACTTTTCTTCTGAAAGAGCAACCCTCAGTTAATCTTGCCTTCCCGCCCGTCGGCGTGCAGAGTATCGTACGGCACCCGTCGCATTCCACTGGCCTCTGGGCGTGTGAGAAGATAGTTTTGATGGCATAGCAGCCCGGGCATTTGACGTCCATGAAGTAGCTGTTGGGCTTCTGTACGAGTCTCTTCAGCTTGTGTTTCCTCTTCTCCTCGATCGGGCTCGGATGGAGGAAATCTCTAGCCAGCGGCATTCTGCGAAACAGGATTCGGCCCGTCAACAACTCGTGATTGTAATTGGCTCACGGATCTTTCCGTCAAACGGTATTAACTTCTTCGCGCGTGTACTTGGAAGACAATTTATTTTATTGCAATTATGCGAAAAAATGTATACACAACATTGTGCAATCTTGCGCGATACACGGACACGGCGATGACAAGAGGAATCGCACGAGGAATGTAAGTTTGCGAATAACGCGAGCTCACGGTCGATCGAATAATTTCCCAATGCAGATACGACAGCCGGAGACATTTAATCAACAAACGCCGGACGGATATATTCGCCTGCGGCGCGTAATGGGCGATACCGCAAGAAGCGCAGTAAGCATGCCGCTCGCGGTATGCGCGCGAATGTGCGGCCCCCGGGTCGATCGGGCCCGCGGCGTCGCGGGCGAACGGAATCCGCGCGGCAGCGAACGAAACGGCGCGGATACTTACGTGATTCGTGAGGTATTTCGCCTAAAATCTGATAATTATGCTCGTAACCACGTGTTTACAGTACAACGTTACGCACTGGAAAGGAACATCGAGCGATCTGACACGAAACATTTAAAACCCCAGAATGCCCCGTCAGCGCTGCCAACTGTCCTCCTCCGCTCGCGCGATGTCCTCCACCAGTTTTCCACCGCATTTTGGGTCTGTTTGATTGGTCCATTGGAAAGGGAATCTGGACAAGTCGCCGGACTCGCCGGGGGCTTCGCGTGTGCGAAGACAAATATATAGACATAACCTTAAATACAATTTCTTCTTGTTTTCGTATATTTGTATTTATATAAAAAAAAAAAGGAATCAGGCACCAAACCAACTACCGATCGATTGCGATCGATTGTGACATTTGTGACTTTAATATCGAGGGACTAATCGAACCAACCGAAGGAAATCGGTTGGCATTAAAAAGGAACTTAAGTGTATTTGAAAAAAAAAAAAAAAATTTTTTTTTTTTAATTAAATAAACTTCAATTTACATCTTGTGTGCCGAGATGTCGAAGAAGAAAGTACTCATGGTTTGTTTAGGTATTGTAGAGATATTTTATATATTTTAATTATATCAGCATGTATATTAAAGATATCCTCTAACAGGAATAAGTATATTGTAATAAAAAAACATAGTAAGCTGTATACGTGTTAAATAATGATTATTTATTTTTTGCTACAGGCAACATTTGTCGTTCGCCGATAGCGGAGGCTGTATTCATAAATGAAGTGAAGAAGAGAGGTTTGCAAAACCAGTGGGAGACACAAAGCGCTGGCATTATAGACAATCATACAGGTAGACAACCAGACAGTAGGGCCCGAAGTATATTAAAGGAAAATGGGATCACTGATTATTCTCATAAAGCACGTCAAGTAAGATTTCGCCGTTTTCAAGAGTAAACGTTATCTCTACGCGATTGCTATAATAACAATATTTAGCTTTTCTATGCGAATATAGTTTTATCATATATTCTTCTTGAGGGAAGAAAATAGGATGAATCTCATTGATTCTCATTCATAATTGAGTGAATTAGCTAATATTTATTTAGAATCTATTAGAACTATTATATTACTATAAATTATTTATTGTATATCTAACCTCTAAATATTTTTGCTTACAGATTGTGGAAGCAGACTTCAACAAATATGACTGGATATTTGGTATGGATCAGGCGAACATTGAAGATTTGAATCGTCAAAAACCAAAGAATTGCCGAGCAAAAGTGGAGCTTCTGGGAAATTATCATCCAGGCAGATCAATCATAATACGAGATCCGTATTACGTACGTATGTCATATCTTTTGGCGTTTGTAGAACTAGAAGACAAAAAGATGGAGATGTACATTAAATTGTTTTCATGATCTTACAGGATTCTGGTGCAGTAGGATTCCAGGAGATCTATGATCAATGCTTGGCATGTATAACAGCATTTTTGGACAAATATTCAACTTAATGCCAAGACTATTCTAAAGCATCGATTTACTTGTATCTTTGGAAGAATATATTTTAGATCAGCGTTTTTCAATCTTTTTACTTCGTCGCTTTTTTTATTTCTAAATCTTTTTACTTCTTTTTACCTCTAAAATTTTCGTGGCACACTGATGTGTCATAGCTGATTGAAAACCCCTGTTCTAACGTAATATGTCCAAAATTTTATGACGTTGAATTTATTGAATATACATATATGAAATAGTAAATATTCTCAAAGAATATTTCTATGTTTAATGCAGAGAAATATACTTTTTGTTAACACTATTAGGTGACTTGTGTGTATGATAATCATATAAGAGAGCAGAGTATGATAAATATAAAAAAAGTGAATTATATAACGCAAAATAGATCATAAGATATTTTGTGTTATAGGTATTATATATATATACATATATATATAATTACAAATAGTAATGACAATACACTTTTTTTCTTTTCAAGAACTTTTTGTTTATATTTTCACAACATAGATATACAAATTGATTTGAAAAATTGCCTAATAAGAGATTAATAAGAATTCTTTTATTTAATTTTGCAGCTAGCAATTATGCATTACTTTTAATTTCAAGCACTTAATATTCTGTGTCATACAAATGTGTTTCTAAAATCAATGAAAGCTTTTTGCATATTAATTAATTAAGCTTCTTCATGTATCATACAATCATGTGTATGTTTTTGAAATTAATAAAAGCTTAATTAATTAAAACCTTTTTATTTAATCACACTTGATACATAATTTGCAAATACATTTGCATGAGTGATTCGTTTTGGTTCATTGAGCCACAGTTGTGTACGTACATTAGATGTCAGCGCAACGTTTTAAGGATAATATTACTAGAAATTTTTAGTGTATTCTTGTTTACTATATTTCGCTACCGAGAGATCAGCAAGAAATCAATATGACACGAAAGAGGAGCGTCCTTATGGTTTGTCTAGGTACTGTAATTTGCTTATTTTTAATCATAAAGCTGAATTTGTTGAACTGTCGCACTGGTTTTAAAATACAGAACATAGAAATTAAGTTATAATTGTTATTCCAATAGCTTTCTTTTTTTTATGAAAAGAAATATAATTGAAGTAAGAACTATGCACGTAGCACATGTGATGAAACAATCTCTTTAGCGAGTGAGAGGCTTTGAATTATTTTGCGGTTATAGTTTTCTATTTATAAGAGTTATGTAATTATAAATACATGCATACAACTCGTCAAACTAAAGTAGGCTAAAAGCAGCAGTCTTTTCTTACGACGTTCTATCAGTCTGCATGCATTTTAAAGTATATTTCAGCAATGCGATTTCAATCGAAATCTCCAATATTTAAACTTAAATTAATATGAATTGATTAATTATTTTCGCGCAGGGAATAGTTGTCGCTCTCCTATGGCGGAAGCGGTGTTTCAGGATCAAGTGCGAAAGATGGGTTTAACCGATTTCTGGGAGGTCGACAGCGCCGCTATTCTAGAATATCACGTCGGCAACGATCCCGAACCCAGGGCGATATCCACACTTCAGAAAGCCGGAATTACGGATTACTCTCATATCGCGAGACAAGTGAGAGTTACAATTTTTGGACTCTCTCCCCTTATATGTTTGTCTATCAATTTTGCATGATTGTTGGACAAAAGTATTTCTACGGCGTTATAGATACTTGAGACACGAAATTATTAATTTCAGATCACGATCAATGATTTCTATCAATTCGACTGGATCTTCGGAATGGACGAGTATATTATCCACCGGCTGTACGAGATGCAACCGAGAGGTAGCCAAGCGAAGATAGAACTACTTGGGAAGTACGATCCAGCTGGAATAGTTGTCATAAGAGATCCCCTCTTTGTACGTATCGCGTGAAACAGACTGTATATTTTTCTGTAAAATAAATCAATGTAATCAGCGAGTTTTGCTCACCGACAGGATACCGGTAGTGTCGGATTTGAGAAAGCATTTCAGCAAGCTCTGAGAAGCGTATGCGCATTTTTGGAAATTAACAAGGTAATTTCGAATTCTCATATTATCTTGTTCTAGTATTCGTATAAATTGTAAAAGAGATCATCGAATTTTGCGAATCTCTGATATCTCTCGATATATCTGCAAACTTTAACAATTTACTTAAAAATTCTCTCTATATCTTATTCCAAATATTGTAGATTTTTATAACACAAGTATGTTTTCTTTACAGAATAATACACTCGAAAAATCACAATAAAAATGTCAAAAATTTTTATTTCATAGAAATATTAAAAATTAAATAAAAATTAGAAATTAAATTTAATTTGCCGAACAGCTTGTCTATTCAGAGTATTTTCGAAATAAATAAGTTTATTCACGAAATATATATAAAAAGATTTTTCTGGAATCCAATTTCACTGAACAACAATCTATATACGCGATCTTTCGCAACTGAAAGTAAAACGCTTTCTCCAAACCGCGGATAAAAACCTAAGTAAATGGTCATAGCGATTATTCCGACATTAAAAAAAATATATACAGTTATTTTCTACATTATGAACGAATAGAATAAATACGAAGATTTTGCCGATTAAAAATCGGGTGTATAAAGACAAAACGATACTTGTATATCTTTCTAAACTTTTTAATTTATAATTTCGTTTTGCAAATAAAATGTATAGCTAAAGAACAGTTTAAATCTTTGAAAGAGAAATGAATTCGAGATTAAAAATTACAGTTATTAAAAATATTTACTGTTAAGAGTAAACCAAGAAGCACGGCTGAAAAAGTGATTTTCTTTGCTCTGAATTAATTGTGTAAAAATTTGATGAAGCAATTACTGAAAGGTAATATTACTTTTTGCTTAAGTAATGCATATCAATGTAAATTAAATGCATAAATGGATATACGGTGTACTTTGCCGCGCTTCAAGGTAGATCGTAAAATGCTTCATTTGCAAATTTTGACCTGTGCCGGTTGCATAATTTGTTCCCTCGAATAGAGAAATTTAATTAACATCCACATCTCGCGTTGGTGAATGTCAGCTCGAGCGTAAATTCCTTCCGACTTTTGCCGTCACAGCTTCACGAGGCTTCAAAACGAGATATGAAGAATGAGATTCTGGAAATACATGTTCTTTTGTTAAACATAAAATATCTACAATAAAACGAATTTTTGCATGTTAATGATCAATTTTACCAATTAAAGGATTCTACGTTCTCTACATTAAATTAATATAATCTATGAAACAAAAATTAATAAAATCTGAAAGATGTTTCCAAGTTTTAAAAATGTAATTAATTATTTTTAAATATTAAATAAAATTTTAGAAAAATGTTTCCAAGATTTTCTCCTGTTCTGAAGAACAAAATAATTCGCTGAAGCTTGAGAAATCAGAAAAATTAAGAACTTAAGAGGTTTCTACAGATATAAAGTGCTCCAGATTTAATTATTGCAATTATCCATATAAGTAAAATGTTACCTGGGACAAGAAAATTATGCGTCTAAAGAGTCGTTAACCGCGAATTTAATGAACGTTATCTAATTCGGAGGAAAGCTAGTGAAATCGGCCGTAATTCTCGCAAAATCACGCTCGATCCACCTCGGCAAGATTGATTGCGGGTTGCAGAACGTAATACCTAACTGCGCACCTGAAATTATATAGATAGGGATTGGAACGCGAACGGATAGAGATACGGTGATCGCATCGATACGTTCACGTATTAAAAAGGTATTTCGATGTCATTGAGGCGAGCAATGCAGTCGGGGTGTTTGCATACGTGTGCTGCAGAATAATGAATATCGCGATGCAAGAATGTTTACCTACATATGCATGTCAGACACGCGCATCCTAAATATAAAATTGTTGACATGCAAATTATGAAAAAAAAAAATCTCTTAAAGTTCAAGCGATCGAGATATTATTGCAAAAAAAAAAAAAAACTTAAAAATAAAAGTGTTTTGGTCAAGCCGGTCAAGCCAAAATCCAGAGATCCATAGAACAGCTTTTTTGTCGCTACGAGGAAAATTCCACGTGGTACTTGTCACGCGTGTCGCGCATCGGGAGGTTAGTCGCGTGACGTCACAAGCGCATCGTTGGATCCTCCCCTCCCCCTCTCCTGCTGTCATTCGTTAGCCACGTTTACTTTTAACAGGAAGTCGATATGTCGAGCTCATCGAAACTCATATGCCGCGTGAACGATTAAGATTTACAATTGCGGTGGACGTATAGCGATATCTTTGATTCACACGTGCGATTCACACGTGTGCGATTTATTCGTAAGTACAAACAGCTGCCTGTCCCGCTGTTCGTCTACGTTCCGAGATTCGGAACGTGCAACGAGATTACGTCACGTTCCGAACTTCAGGCGCGTGGATCGCGTCACCTGCACTTTCCATGTGCACGCTTACGAGTCTCCCCCCTCCCCTTCCCCCTCTCGGGGAGCAGGGGGAAATTTCACGAGATGCACGAAAAGGATCCCTCGCGGCGGCTTGATCCTTCATCTCTCCCCCTCTCCCCCTCGTCTGTCAACGGCCTGTTTCGCGTATCCGTCTCGATCTAACCCAAGCGCAGACTTCATAAATAAATGTAACACAGTGCAGGTTATGAGTTGGAGGGAAGGGGGGAGTGGAGGGAGGCAAACCTCAATTATCTCTTGCCATCCCTTTTTTCTCTCCTTCTCCCGCGCGACACCCACACTCTCGTGCGGCTGCACGTGCATACATTCGCCTCGTGTTACTTCCAAGGTGCGATCAACGGGAACCCGTTTCTCTCGCGAAGTCGAGCCCACGGTCGAGCCTCTCTCGGGCCGAAGTGCGCAGCATCGGCGAGCCGGCGCGGTGGTAGTGATGCGCGATTCTGATTCGATTATTGGAGAATCGATTTTTTTTTACGAATTAATCGATATTATTAATCGATTATTTAGACGGTCGATTATTTGCGAATCGATTATATTTTTAACCATTATTTCGATAATTATTTAGTTCAGCTGCATCAACATGAAAAAATTGATAAAATTATGCTTACTTATTCTATGCATTTATAATATATAAAACGAAAGAATCTGGCAAAGAAAAGTGTCGCTCTGAAGAGAAATATTAATCTTTAAAGTTTGCCTTTTGAGGTTACGAAACCTGTCATATCGACGAAATATTGCATGAAATCGTAAGAAACTGATTTTGTCCAATTTATACTGCAAAATGATCTTTGTGGTGATTGGTTGCTGTATGCTGTTGCTGTCCTATTACATTCTACTTTTTACTATTCTATAGATGTTAAGGTGTTTTTTCACGAGCCTTTCGAATCGCGTAGTGATCGCGTAGTGATTAACAAAACAGATCACAATTAGTCACAAGATGACGAAGATTTGTTATGATTTATCGAACATTTGATTAGGGCGAATTTACACCTTGACAGAAAAGCGGAAAACAGAAAAGCAGAAGCCAATCAGAACTCGCACTGGTAGCAAGAAAAGCAGAAAGTAAAAACTATTAACTACCAACGCGAG